CTCCAGCAAGAATTTATTGTTTCAGGCTTGATGACTTTCATGGCTTTTTCTGTAACAACAATGAAATTTTCAGTGGTGTAATCCTTCCAGAGATTCATAATGTTCTATTATTAGGGTTCTTTTACATAGCCATAACAATTGTTTCCATAGAGTGCTGCCTAGAATGAGCCTTAAAGGTTTTTATGACCTCCTGTTCTAGAAAGCTGAATTAGAGATGCTGTTTTTGGGGGCAAGTAAACCACTTTGACATCTTTGATGTTGAACTCTTGGGGTTCTGAGTGGCCAACGGCATTTTCCAATATCAGAAGGACTCCAAAAAGGTAATCCTTCACTGGCAAGGTATTTCCTGACTTCAGGAACAAAGCATCAATGGAAGCAGTCCAGAAAAAGGGTTCTCATCATCCAGGCCTTGTTGGACAACCGAAAGACTGGCAGCCGATATTTATCTCCTCTCTTCAAGGCTGAGGGTTTTGAGGGGGTTAGCAACCTTAGAGATAAGGGCAGTCCTGGTCATAAACCTGACTGCATTTGCACAGAATAGTAGAGTTAGCCTATCCCTTCCTGCCTTAAATCCTGGTGCTCACTTGTCTTCCTTACTAATAAATGTCCTTTGTGGCATTTTCCCACCTGAATAGGGCACTTTTTGTCTGCATTAAAAACCTTTTCAGGCAGATAGCCTTTCTGCTCTTTGGTGATTTTTTTTAATCGTGTCTTGGAACTCATATGCTGCCTGTTGGTCGGCAAAAGTTGCTTCTCCTTTTAACTTTGCATTTTTAAAGCCAAACCTTTTTCTAAAATTATCAAACCATTTTTTGCTGGCATTAAATTTCGCAACTTTAGATCCTTCATTTTCCTTTAAGTTGTTATATAATGACTTTGCTTTTTCTCAAATCATATTAAAGTCTATAGGTATACCTTTTTTACAGCAATCCTGCACCTACATATAAGCTGCATTTTCAATACAAGATAAAAAGATACTTCACAAAAAGTTAAAAGGTTTTCGTGCCTGCTGTTGTAGCTGCAGCCACAACTTCATGAATTTCCTTTTCTTTTTTACAATGATCCCTACCCTGGATTCATTGATCTTGAAATGGTGGGCAACCACAGCTGCAGATCTCAATCTACAGTACATGTCCAGTATTAATACTTCAACTTTTTCTTGTAATGTCAAGACTTTTCTCTGCTTCTTGGGAGCACTTCCAGCAAGCATCACTAGTGGCACTTCCTATGGTCTGATACTTAAGGTTTATGTTACTGTACTAAATGTGATGAAAAATATATGAGAACTGAGAGAGATTTTTACTACGATATACAGTTTACTGGAGAGACAAACTGCTTTATGCGGAGATGATTATTGTCACTTGATGTTTTAAGTGGATACTCAACACTTGAGCTCATTGACATAGCAACAGAAGGTGGCTATGAAATTATGATTTAATACTGTATCTTGTTTTTGCATTTCTCTGTACTGTGAATGGCACCCAATATAGTCTATAAGTATATGCTTAAGTTTTGACAAATTTAAACTTTTTGGAATAGATTTGTATATTTTTTATGGTAGTAAATTATAAAATAGAATAGTATCTACATATATTTTAAGCATTTATGACATTTTCTTAAATTTTTTCGACATTTCGAGGTTACGTGTTTCTTTCAAATTGTCAAAAATCTCCAAAAAATTTTCCAATATATTTATTGGAAAAGAAATTCATGTATAAGTGGATATGCACAGTTCAAACCTGTGTTGTTTAAGGGTCAACTGTATTAAAGTGAGCCTTTGTAATGTACTGTATTACTCAGTATTTTTCTGAGTAGTACCTGAAGTGTCTGTAGTAGATGTATTTTTAAGGGAGGGTCTCAGATGAGAGCTGACTTTTCATACTGTTGAAAATGTTTTAGAAGCAAAGCTTTAGTCTGCTAAAATCCAGACTAATGCTTGATTGAAACTTCAGGACTTTACCACAGAAAATGAAAGAAGTAATGTGTTGTCAACTGTAGAACAACCTAATGCCTCTTTATTACCCTAGTAATGTAAATAGCTATAGCATGTACCTTTAAGTGGCTGAGTGAAAGGGTTGATGGATCCTTCAATATTATTCATTTAAATGGAGAATGCCTACCAAAGAGAAGGATTTTAATAATGGCTAGCCCTTGTTTGAGAAACTTTAGTATGCACTAGAAGCTTTATATATAATGTTTCTGTGAAGTGAGTATTGTTTCTGTTTGCAAATAGAAAACGAAGGTTCAGAAGTTTAGCGACTTTTAATAAGGTGACATAGTTGGAATTCTAATCCAGATCTTTCTGTGCAAAGCTTATGCATTGCTGTGTCTTGCATATGTTTAATTCTTCCTTAATAAATACTATTCTCTGTTTGCACTGAGGATACAATTTGAAGAAAAGGAAAAAACATCTAAAAAAGACAGGGTTTGTATTCTTAGAGCTTATTCTCTAGTAAGAGGGTAGGTGTGAATTTCAGATGGGCCTGCTAAGAAATTCTGGGAAATTGACCTTTGCTTTACATGGTTTGCTGTGAACACTGTGGTTTATCTTAACATTATTTTGCACCTGATGAGAAGACTGGCATTCATGTAGCTTTTTCTAAAACAGGGAGTAGTAAAATTTCCTGTGAGTTTGACAGAGATCTAAATTTGAGTTAGTTTAAGAGCTTAAGAATCTTAAAGAGTTCTTAAAAAGTATCCGATGGAATCCTAATCTTAGTTAGGCAATATCATGAACATATGGGTACCTGTGTGGGAACTTAAAGAGAAGGATGTTTGCACTTCTACCAGGATTGATTTCAACTTGGACAGCTGCTGGTATACAATTAACTTCTTATTAAATTTCATTAAAGTAGCTTACATCCTTTGTCTTTTAATGACTATCAGTCTGTGACAGTACTTTTTTTTGAGACAGGGTCTCTGTCTGTTCCCCAAGCTAGAGTGTAGCTCACTGCAACCTTACACTTCTGGGCTCAAGCAATCCTCTGGCCTCAGCTTCCTGAGTAGCTGGGACTACAGGCATGTACCACCATACCCGGCTAATTTTTCTATTTCTCTTTTGTAGGAACAGGGTCTTGCCATGTTGCTCAGGCTAGGATGGTCCTTTTTAAAAATCAAGTATTAGTTAAACAATCATACAAGTAAATGTCAGATTACTGCAATTAATGTTTCAAAGGTGAATGATATACAGTGAAAGCATAAAAGGGGGGCAGATATTGAGCTGGTTGGGGAAATAGGGAAACCTTCCCTCATTAGATGATGCTTTAATTCAGGTGGATGAGTACACATTATAGTGGGGAGGCCCTAGTGGAGAGTGGTCCAAATAGAGGAAATAAGCCTCATCTTAAAGGTGGTATGGCAGGGAGCTGAAAAAAAGATCATTGTGTGTCTGCAGCAGAGGTCTGGGTGCATGGTGTGTAATGAGTCTGGAAAGTTAGACAGGAGTCAGACCAGGCAAGGTCTTATATATACAGATTTTTTGTGTTTTTTTAATACAAAGAGTGAGGAGTCGTTGACCATTCTAAAGGGGTTGTGGGAGTGGTTGGGTGTCAGTTAGTCTCCGGATCAGATTAGGTTTTGGAAAGATAGCTATCAATGTGGTATAGAACATGCCACATTTATTTAGGTATTCTGTAGGTGAGAGATAAAGGTAATTTAGACTGATCATTGTGGTTAGAAAAGGAAGAGGAAAAAAATACAGGAGAAAACTGAGTAAATTCCAGAGATAATAAAGGATAAGCATGAATAGAATTCAGTGATGGATATGTTATAAGAGATGCTGGAATAAAAGCTATAGAGGACTCCCCAAATTTCTAGTTGGTTAACTAACAAATTCTTTTTGAGTTGTTATTTAAGCCTGTTCAAATTGTTTTTGCAGTGTTCTAATGGCTAAAGCTTAGTTTCCAGACTTCTGGTTAATATCTTATAATTGTTAAAAATCTTAACATCAGTGAATACACTGGATTTTTAAAATCAGTATTCATTTAAGCTTAGTTACTTGTCTGTTGCCTAATTCCTCCACCTTGTCTTTCACTGTTTTCCAGGCACTATTATTTTCCTTTGCTTCTATGAGAAATTTCAAAACAAAGATGGGTGGGATTATTGTTAGATCCCTTGATTTTTAAAAGCAGTTTTTATTGAGATACATACCATAAAATCAGCCAATTTAAAGTGTACAATTCAGTGGTTTTTACTATATTTACAGAGTTGTACAATCATCACCACAGTCAATTTTAGAATATTTTCCTTATTCAAACAAAAACACTGAATACTACTCATTAGTTGTCATTCCTTGTTTCTCCCCAACCATCTCAGCCCTGCACAACCATCAATAGATTTACTTTTTCTGGATATTTTATATAAATGGAATCATATAATACGTGGTCTTTTTAATCTGGCTTTTTTAACTTAGCATAATGTTTTTGAGGTTCGGTCATGTGGTAATGTGTATCAGTACTTCATTCCTTTTTATGGCTCATATTTCATTAAACAGATACAGCACATTTAGTTATCCATTCGTTGATAGACTTTTGGATTGTTTTTCCTTTTTTATGAATTTTGAATGAATAATGCTATAGTGAACATTCATGTATAGATTTTTACTTGAATTATGTTCTTGATTCTCTTGGGTATATACCTAGGGGTGGAGTTGGCTGGGTCATATGTTAACTGTTTAATTTTTTGAGGAACTGTCCAACAGTTTTCCAAAGCTACGCCATTTTACATTGCCACCAGCAGTGTGTAATAGTTCCAGTTTCTCCACATTCTTGCTAACACTTGATATCCTGTCTTTTTTATTACAGGCAAGTAACTGTTAACTGATAGCTCATTATAGTTTTGATATGCATTTCCCTGATGGCTATAGATGTTGAGCTCGATTTTAAAAGAAAAGCAGCAGTTTGATTTTATTGAGAATATAAAACTGGAAATGTTTAATAGTTTCATGTAATTGCTTGGAGACACTTTTGCTGTATTTAAAATTTGTTCTTCTTTTTCATCAGTTGTATTCCCTGAATGACTATAAACCACCCATTTCTAAAGCGAAAATGACCCAAATTACTAAGGCAGCCATCAAAGCTATTAAGGTGAGTAATAAATTTTACTCTTGTGTTTCAAAAGAAAATACTACACTAATATTTTGTGTGTGGGGGAAAAATTTTATAGATTATATATTCTTTTCTGCTTTATAGTGTTAATACATGATCATTGTGGAAAAACATAAAAAAGAAAATTTATCACCTGCAAACTCTCCCACCTAGAGATAGATACCTTTGATAAATATTTTTCCATAAACTTTGAAGGAATAATTTTTCCTTACCTTTCTTAGGCAATATTTTGGACATATCCACATTGAGGAGAGTGTTTTTAACACTGTTTTTGTCACATTGACTTTGCGGAATCTTGAAACACAAGTTGGTAAAAGGTTTCTAAATATTAATATATTAATGTTCTTCCTTATTAAATCTATTATAGATTTGAAAATGGACCATTATGGAGAATAGTTGGGCCTCGCTGTACATAAGATATATGAACTGTGGGAAAATACCATAGACATTAAGCCATTGCTCTAATACAGTTGGTTTTGAACCTCTGTTGACTCATGGATACTTCTGAAAATCTCAGGAAAGGGTTGGATCCTCTCCAGAGAAACACACATATGCACAAAACTTTACATAGAATTCCTTGGCTCAAGGACCCTTTGAAGTTAGTCACAGCCATTTTCCCAAGACATTCTTATCCCCAGGGCTAAGACTCTTGCTTTAGTAGGGCTGTTAAAATTGAGAATGAATAAGTGCTTATTTCTAACTAAGTAGGTATTAACCTATGAATATTTAGTGATATGTTTTCCTACTCTAAATTAAGCATAAGCATAACCAGAGGCACCAGCTATTTAAATTGTCTTTTGAATATCAGTAATGTATTAAATTTAACAAATTCCTACTTACTAGTAATTGTTACTGGGAGAAAATTTAGGTAATTAGTTGATTTTACAGTTTTCTAATGGCCAAAGCTTAGTTTTCAGACTTGTAGTAAATATCTGACATCATTGTAGTTAAAATCCCTATACCTAACATGCAGAAAATCAAAGAGAAGTTCAGTGACACATAGCCACATTTAAGGCAGAAAATTCTTCAAAGAAGTAATTTTTCAGGGTATCTATGAGCTTAATATAGAATAAGTTTATTGTCTTACACTTTCTTATCTGTAGTATTCTGCATTATGATCTGAATCTAATGATCATGACCATGTGAGGGTATGCAAACATGTATAATTGTTTTTATTCTGTGAATATTAGTAGTTGATGCATTTTACATAACTTGTTGAGAAGAATACATTTTTCACTGAAGGACTTACTGAGGTGTAGGTGCTAACATTATTTCCTGTTTTTAGATGTCAGAAAGGACTAAGAAATTAAATACTTCACAATAGTAGGGGTGAATACAGCTAGAATTTGAATCCAGGTTTCTGTCACTCAAGAGCCTACCTCTTTGGGTGTGGTGGCACAGTCCTAGCTGCTTAGGAGGCTGATGTGGGAGGGCTGCTTTAGCCCAGAGCTAGCCTGGGCAACATAGCGAAGAAGAGTAAATGTGGTTTTTTTTTTTTTTTTTTTTTGAGACAGAGTCTCACTTTGTTGCCTAGGCTAGAGTGAGTGCCGTGGCGTCAGCCTAGCTCACAGCAACCTCAAACTCCTGGGCTCAAGCAATCCTACTGCCTCAGCCTCCCGAGTAGCTGGGACTACAGGCATGTGCCACCATGCCCGGCTAATTTTTTTCTATATATATATTAGTTGGCCATTTAATTTTTTTCCATTTTTATAGTAGAGACAGGGTCTCGCTCAGGCTGGTTTTGAACTCCTGACCTCGAGCAATCCGCCCGCCTCCGCCTCCCAGAGAGCTAGGATTACAGGCGTGAGCCACCGCGCCCGGCAGTGTTTTTTGTTTTTTTTTTAAAGTCTAACTTTTAATTATTGTGATACACTGTACAGTTTTTATTATTTTCTTAATTTTGAAAAAATTTAAACAAGTTGTAAAATATTTTGAGAGCATCACATATTTTTCCCTTAAAATTTGCTAATTGTTAACATTTTGCTACATTTGCTTTATTTCTGTTCACGTGCAGGCCCACACACTATTCTCATTTTTTTGGCTGAATCATTTGAGAGTTAATTTTAGTCTTCATTTATAATAGTACTTATTCCTTACATATTTAATTTGAATCTCATGGGAACAAAGACATTTTTCTAAGTAACCATAATGCACCAAATCACATGCAAGAAATTTCACTTTCATATAATTATCATCTGTTATACAATTCATCCCTACATTTCAACATTTGTTGGCAGTATTGACTCTAGTAGCTGTCCCATGCACCACTGCTTTTTTAGGATCCAGTCAAGATCACTCATTATACTCATTTGTCCTTTTACCCAGCTGTTTTTTTCCCATGACATTGACATTTTTGAAGAATCTAAACCAATTGTTTTTCAGCACTGTATTATTTTATTTTTTTAGTTTTCTTTTTTAAAAATCATATTCAACCCCAAGTACTATATTATTTACAATTTCATTTAGTACATACATAACCTGAGATTTTAGCTAGCTTTTCAGTTGGATTTAAATGATACTGTGTTTCATTTTGAGGTAAGTCATTGCTTTTTATCAGTGTTTAGAGAAATAATTACCTTAATGAGTGCTTGTCAACATTGCACACTGTTAGCAAAACTCACGGATAACATTGTGGAAGAAGTCCTATGAGAATTCATGAACTCTGAATAAAGTTTAGTAAGTGGTTTTATTCTAATTATATATAGCAACTAGACGCAGAAAATACTGTCAAAGTATCTTCCTGAAGAGTTGTTCTATTCATTCAGTATGTAATTATTTAATATTTTGTATATTGATTTTAAATGTTTAGGTGCCTATAATGTGCCTAATAACTCAAGTAGTAGTTTTAGCTTTTTTACTTGGGTAACTTAAACTGTTGAGTAAACTGATGCTTTATAGTAAGTAAACTTTAACCAGACTTAAACTTGCAGGTTTTGATTTGGTGAATTTGAGTTAATGATGTTTTTTATTATGTATGTATGTAAAAATGAATGAATAAGAGAGACAGGGTCTCCCTCTGCCACCCTGGCTGTAATGCAGTGAGCAGCACTCTGGTAGCTCACTGTAATCTCAAACTCTTGGGCTCAAGTGATCCATCTGCCTCAGCCTCCCAAGTAGCTAGGACAGGTGGCATATGCCAGCCACCATGCTCAGCTAATTTTTAAAAATTTTTTTGTAGAGTGAAGGTCTTGCTGTGTTGCGCAGGCTGGTCTCAAACTCCTGGGCTCAAGCAGTCATCCTGCGTTGGCTTCCCAAAGTGCTGGGATTATAGGCATGAGCCACCATGCCCAGCCTGTTTTTGATTTTATATATATTGGATTTTATGCTGCAATTTAGTTGAATGTTGTATTTCTTCAGTCCGAGGTAGTGTCTGCCCCTTAAAAAGCATAATTCATGAGAATAGATAGAAGCACAATTCAGCTTAGTTCTTTAAACAGAAATATGCTAACTATGGTATTGCCATTGAGGTATTAAAATTTATTAGACACAAATTCTAGATACTTTGTTAAATTTATAATTTCTGTTTTTTAGGTTTATTCATACTGTTATATTTTATGAATTAAATCTTCTAAGTTTTGTTACAATTGATAGCAGATTACTAATTTTTAATCCATATGCTCACTTCTTTTTTGCTAAGTCATTTTTGTCTGGTCCATTAGGATTTTATACATTTCTGCACCTTATATATGCCTGCACTTCATTTTCCAGAAGTGGAAGATAAATGAAGTTGAAAACAACTCCATTTACATACATTTCTTAATGCTATTTGTTGCAGAGTCATTTGATTTTTCTGCTACTACCCTTGATTTAACTGATAAAATTTTACCATAAAAAAATCCTTTTCCTTCTGTTAAACTAAGAATATGCAACTGCCAGTTTACTTATGACAAGTATTTTGCTGTCAATACAACTATTTGTGAAAGTATTCTTTCATAAGACTTTGATAGAATTCTTTTATATCTGACTATGTATGTACTTCATAGAAACCCTTTACTGATTATATGGGACAGCAAGTTGCTTGTGAATGGGGTGATTGACATGAATGTTTCTCTGAAAATTCTTGATTAAAAGTTATTGTTTTGGTAGACCGTTGGAGCTATGTTAAAACCCTATGGTTAGCAGGCAGTTCTAATCTATTCAAATTAATTCTAAAATCATATTCATTTGATTTCTCTTTTAGTTCTATAAACATGTGGTACAGAGTGTAGAGAAGTTTATTCAGAAAGTAAGTATATAATTTTCCATATATATGCTAATTATACTGTAATTATATATTAATGTCTGTGTTCTTCTTTAAGTCAAATACCCAAGTTTAAGTTGTTTTGATGGAATGTTAAGAAGTGGTTCCAGTTATTTTATTTTCTAATTAAGAAATAAAATGAAAGTGTCTTTTGGATAATTATAAAAACAATAGCTTTCAGGTAGGTTTCTTTGTTGTTGTTGTTAAATTTGCATTGCCATAATGAGCATCTGTCCCTTGAAAAAAAAGTGTCTATATGATTGATTTTTAATGGGATTAGAAACCTATGGCTTTGTAAAGCCTTTAAGGAAATTGTTACTTGTCATTTTAGCTATATGCCTATAGAGTGGCTCTCTTTTTAGATAAGGTGTGGATAAAATACTGACTGCCACCATTTCTCTTCTGCTGATTTCCTTTTTTCTGATCCATTAGGACATTAAATATTGTTACATTTTATTATATAGACCTGCAGTTCCATTTTTCCAGAGAGAGATAAAGTTGAAAGTGACTGTATTGTGTATATTTAGTAGTGCTTTTGTAACCAGAGTCAAAGTGACTAGATTATAGTTCTTTGCCCTCTGTTTTGTAATCAACACCCTTTGGATGCCACAGTTTTTGGCAGGAGTACATAAGACTTATAACTTAAAAAAATGTTACTGTAGGAAACCTCTGTTTTACTGTAATTGTACTTAGGTTTGTATTCTGCCCATGTTCACGTGCCTAGATATAAGCAGAGCCAGTTCGAGGACCAGAAGTATTTGATATTAAGGATTTAGTAAGGTTGCAGTTTGGTTTTTGAATAAAAAGAGTTGATTGAGAGAAGGGTGCAAGATTCAAAGTGAGATTTTTGTGTCACTAAACTAGCTCAGTTAATTTATGTAATTCATGATTTTTTAAAAATTCTTGTTTTCACAATATGTAAAGTACAGTATTCGTAAGACATATTTTGAGATTAAGTAGTTTAAGTAAATTGAGGCTAAGACATGGGTAGTAAAATAACAAGTATACTGTCTTTTAGGTAAATCAAACTATAAAAATGTTAGTGATTGGAAAATTTCATTTATCTAAAGCTTTTAAAAGTCTTTTTAAAAAATTTAAAAATTAAAAAATTTAAAAAAATGTCTAAAGCTGTGCCTCAAACGGCATATTCCTACTCATAACATATTATGAGTATGAGTAGGAATTATAAGGGGGATCTTGTTAAAATGCAGATTCTGACTCTGTGGAGGAGCCTGTGATTCTGTATTTGTAACAGTTCCTAGATGATGCCTTTCCCATTCCTTCAGAAATCACAATTTGAGTAGTAGGAGGTTAAAGGATAAATGTAAATTTGTGGATAAATGTTTTTGATTGATTTAATTTCAGGTTGGGGTAATTTTAATAAAATATTTCAGAATGTTAGGAAGACCTGGAGTGAACAGAGTTATTCTACTGTGAGATGATTGTAGTAGAGTCAGTCTGAAGACTCAAGTCAGTGTCTGAGGAAAGATTTAAATGCTTTGCCTCTACCCATGCTTATATCTGAGATTCAGCAATGGATTTCTTTAATGGTTGAAGTAAGTTGTATATGAATATTTTTAAACTTTTAATTTTGAGATAATTGTAGATTCACATGTAATTGAATCAATAGGAATAAATCATAACAAAACAGAGATGCCATATATCCTTCACTCAGTTACCCCCTTGTATAGTTGTAGCAAAATACCACAACCAAGGCATTGATAACAGTCACCTAATTGACATACGAACCTTATTCATATTTTACTAGTTTTACATGTATTCATTTGCATGTGGCATATTTAGTTCTGTGCAGTTTAATCACATGTATATAAACGCTGTAGTCAAGAGACAGAATAGTTCCTTCACCACAATGATTCATCGTATTTCTGTAGTCATACTCCACATTCAACTCTTCTGCTCCTCCCATTTCTAATGCCTGGCAGTCACAAATCTGTCCTCTTTCTATAATTCTGCATTTCAAGAATGTTATGTAAATGGAATCATACAGTATGTGGCCTTTTGAGATTGGCTTGTTTTGCTCAGCAGAGTTCCTTAAGATCTAGCCTAGTTGTTGCATGTATCCAATAGTTCCTTCTTTTTTATTTCTGAATAGTATTCCATGATATGAAGGTGCCACAGATTAACTGTTTACACATTGGGGGTCTTCTGGGTTATTTCCAGCTTTCGGCTATTAAAAATAAAGCAATAGTAACATTTGTGTACAACATATTACCTGAATGTAAGTTTTCATTTCTCCGGGATAGTGGATAGTGAGTGCATGTTTTTGTTTTATAAGAAACTGCCAAACTATTTTACAGAAGGGTTGTACCTTTTTTTTTTTTAAATTTCAGAATATTACAGGGGTACAAATGTTTTGGTTACATGAATTACTTTTGCACAGTTTGAATCAAAGTTATAAGTGTGTCCATCACCCAGATAGTGTACATTGTATCCATTAGGTATGAATTAACCCAGCACCCTCCCACTTGATTTCCATTGAATTTTACTACTATATGTACACATGAGTGTTGATCATTTAGTTCCAATTTAATAGTGACTACATAGTGACTATTCTTGCTATACTTCACTTAGGAGGATGGTCTCCAGTTCCATCCACATAGTTACAAAAGGTATTAGTTTACCATTTTTTAAATGTCTGAGTAATACTCTGTGGTATACATATACCACATTAATCCACTCATGTATTGTTGGGCACTTGGATCGTTTCCACATCTTTGCAATTGTAAATTGTGCTGCTATAAACATTCAAGTGCAAGTGTCTTTTTTATAAAATGTCTTTTTTTTTTCCTTTGGGTAAATATCCAGTATTGGGATTGCTGGGTCAGATGGTAGGTTTACTTTTAGTTCTTTGAAGTATCTCCATAATTACTTTCCATAGGGGGTTGAACAAGTTTGCATTCCCATCAATAGTGTATAACTATTCCTTTCTCTCTGCATCCACACCATCATCTGTTGTTTTGGGACTTTTTTTTTTTTTTTTTTTGAGACAGAGTCTCGCTTTGTTGCCTAGGCTAGAGTGAGTGCCGTGGCGTCAGCCTAGCTCACAGCAACCTCAAACTCCTGGGCTCAAGCGATCCTTATGTCTCAGCCTCCCAAGTAGCTGGGACTACAGGCATGAGCCACCATGCCTGGCTAATTTTTTCTATATATATTAGTTGCCATTAGTTCTTTCTATTTATAGTAACGGGGCTCGCTTGCTCAGGCTGGTTTCGAACTCCCGACCTCGAGCAATCCGCCCGCCTCGGCCTCCCAGAGAGCTAGGATTACAGGCGTGAGCCACCGCGCCCGGCCTGTTTTGGGACTTTTTGATAAAAGCCATTCTCACTGGGGTTAGGTGATATCTCATTGTGGTTTTGATTTGTATTTCCCTGATGATTAGAGTCGGTGAGCATTTTTTCATGTTTATTGGCCATTGTCTTCTTTTGAAAAGCTTCTGTTCATGTCTTTTGCCCATTTTTTAATGGGATTATTTGATGTTTTCTTGCTGATTTGCTTGAGTTCTATGTAGATTCTGGTTATTAGTCCTTAATTGGATGTATAGCATGCAGATATTTTCTCCCATTCTGTAGGTTGTCTATGTGCTCTTTTGATTGTTTCCTTGGCTGTGCAGACGCTTTTAAATTTAATCAGGTCCCATTTATTTATTTTTGTTATCATGATTGCCTTTGGGATCTTCTGTATAGGGGCTATACCATTTTATAGTCCTTTCACACACCATAAACACATAGTGCAAGTATGGGGGAAACATGGGTGCAGTTTGGTAATGTGTTATCTGTGATTCTATGTTTCAGTCATGAAAGATTTATAGAATAATGAGTCATGGTAATAAAAAATTAATAATAACGATGATACCCTGTAGGCCAGGAAAACTTTTGAAAGAATCTCTGGCCTCTGGCATTTGTCCTAATTATTTTTGCCAGAAATTACTTTATAGGCTGATGTTACTTTTATAAGACAGAAGCAAAGGCCAGAGTGACAAACAGCTATTAGGAAATTTTATAATAAGGTAAATTTTAGAACTAACATTTGTACTAGCTGAAACAGTTGGTCATCTTCTGGTATATTTTTTTCTGCTCTTTGATATTTTCTCAGAGGAAGAATAGAGTCCATATTTAAAGATGGCTGTTATATTTACTTAGCTCTGGTGTTGTGTTTTATAGAGGTCTATTAATATATGTACATATACACATACTTTCATATAAAGTGCAGTATCCTATAACTGCACTTTTATCACAAGTACAGTTTACCCTTAGGGATGGAGTACACAAAAATTTTATCACTCAGCACAAATAGTCTGAAAGGAGTTTATTTCCAAATTCTCACTTTCTGTATGTAGTTTTTACTAAAGTTCCTCTGCCTTAAAATTAATATTTTAGATCAATTCTAAGCTTTACAACTCCTTATATTTACATTTCAAATATATGTTGAGCTTATCAGACCTTATTTATTATGATAGGAGAAACTTTGCCTGTTTTATTTTATTTGAGAAGGCACAGATATTTATATAATTATAGTCAGCTGGCTCTCCATATCTGTGAATTCCACCTACTGGCATTAAAAATATTTGAAAGAAAAAATTCCACAATGCTCCAAATACCAAAACTTGAATTTGCCATATGCCAAGTACTACATTGAATCCATGCAAATGATGTGATGTGTAGGCCTTGTATTAGGTATAAGTAATCTAGAAATGATTTGAAGTATATGGGATGATGTGTGTAGGTGATGTGCAGATACTACCCATTTTGTATAATAAGGAACCTGAGCATCCTTGGATTTTGGTATCTGTGATGGTTCGGGAACCAGTCCCTATGGATACTGAGTGATGACTGCATTTCTTTTTATTGTCAAATATACATGTACATACACAGAAAAGTACACAAAACACTATATATAGATAAATTCTTATCAAGAGAAGACCTGTGTGACTCCCACTCATTTCAAGAAATAGAATTGTGAAGTCCACACCTCCCAAGTGCCTGATCTTATCCTGCACGTCCCCTATCCAACTAACTATAGTTTGACATTTATGTTAGTCATGTCCTTGCTTGGTATTATAGTTTTACTTTACGAGATGAATTCTTAAAGTAGCTTAATGTACTTTTTAATTTTACATAATAGATACCTGTAATATGTATTCCTTTGTGTACAGTTCTTTCACTCAACATTGTATGTTTAGGATTCTTCCCTATTGTGAGTACCAGTATTTGTTACTATTCATTGTTCCATGTATTCCATTATGTGAATAAACTGCAGCTTGTTCATTCTACTGTTGATATTGTGTGTATGTTTTCTAGTGTTTGGAATTCTCGAACAGTATTGCTGTGAACAATGTAATACATATGTAAGGTAATCTGTATGCTGGTGCAGCTTGCATATCTGTAGGAGTGGAATTGCTGATGATAGGGTATGCATTTCTTCAACTTGGATAATGCTAAATTAGTTTCATATGGTTGTACTAATTTACACTCACACTAGCAATGTATGAATTTGTGTGTTCCTTATCTTTGCCAACACTTGGTATTGTTGGATTTAAATTTTTCTAATTTCTTTAGTCTTAAAGTTTATTTTATTTTATTTTATTTTTGTTAGTCAAGCGTGGTTGTGGGGAGAGACAATGTTAAATCAGCTTAATAATAACTCACAACCTTTGGATCAATTTAAATTTTATTTTAAAAAGTCATTAATAAATCACCTTTATTCAAAGAGTTAAATTCCAGCCAGCTTTAAAACTTAACATGAAGATGGTTTTTAAACTCGTACAGACTCATCAAATAGAATGAATTTCTATTGATTGGCACAGATCCCTCTTATCAAAACTAAAAAAATATTAGGTTGCTTTATGACTACCTTTAGTTTTCTCTAGATTCAGTATTCTCACGTCTAGTTCAATCTCAGCTATTTTACTAAGCTGAGTATTAAATTTGGATTTATTTAGCTTTGCTTCATGAGGAGCTGAGATAATAGTTTTTTCTTACTTGAAGTCATATTCCTACCCCCACCATCTCTCAGGAACACTTCATATCCCTTAAGACAAAGTAACCTTTCATCTCTTGCTTCCTTACTAAGGCCTTCTGAGTACAAATAGAAGAGGGCTGGTGATTCCCCATCATCCTCTTCCAGCTTAGATATTGTGGAAATGGATATTGCTGTTGTGGAATTTCTGAAGAAAACTTGAGTTATCACAAGTTTTAAAATAACATAAAAGTGTTGTGTTTGACATTCTATTAATAAAAGAAAATTCCACTTAATTCTTCTTCCTATTTTGTAGTAATATCTCTGACCTGTGTTATGTACTTAACTGTTATTTCCTTAAGAAATGCTGTTTAGATTAGCAGTGAAGATCTTGTAGGCTCAGTTAAGAGTATTAAAAAAGGGCTGTCTAGAAAGTCTCTAGCCACAATTTTCATAACTTTTCATATTACATGGCTGGTTACATTCTGGGGACAGCCTTTGTATGATTAGTGGTTGCTGAACCTTTAGTAAACTTAAACATTGGATGCCCAGAAAGTCTGGGCCGTAATGGGTTTTTATTTGCATAGTGAGAATTTTATGTAAATTATCCTACCTTTTCAGGCTTTATGAGCACCCCATAGTATTAATTCTCAAATGGGGTATATAATAATTATCTTACACAAAGGAAACATAATCTTAGGGAAACATTTTGTGTGACTATTAAGGAAAGTATTTAAGGCTGCCTATGATTTCTTAGAGTTGTTTAATTGGCAGGATCTTTGAACTGCAAATTTTATAACTAAAAATAATCTAGCGTGTAGTCAGTGTTATGTTATCAACTAATACTGGTTTGCTGTTTACAAAAGCCAATTGGGGATGCTGAGGCTACATTATTCCTCCTCTCATGGTACTTAAACAACATTCTTTCACTGAATAGCGCAATCAATTTATTTGTTTCTTATAGTGTTGCTCCATGTAGAATAGGGAGGGTATAAGCAAATTTAGAATCTACCTGGTATATAATTCAATAAAATATTCTTTTTGTCTTTTAAACAACAAATTTAAATATAGAAGTGAATTTATTTGATTCTTGTAACATTTTTCCATGTGTACTATGGCATAATACTAGAGCCTAGTTCAATTCTGTGGTAAAAATATACCATTGAAATTTGTCATTATCTGGCATAATGAAGAGTTAAATGTTAGAATAGTAAATGCAGGTTATTGACATCTATGGGGAACCATGGATAGGCTTCAAAGGGACTAGGGAACTTCCTGGAGAGTGTACCTCTTAAAGGAGGCTTCCAAAATGTTAAAAAACCATTGATAGAGCAGTGATTTTTATTTTAAAACAGGGGTAAGGGGGGAAGTGGGCCACAATTTTGTATAGAGTATTAGAATGTTTAGGAAGATGAATAATTAGAAAACCATAGTTACCATTATAACATGTTTGGGGGTAGGGTTGGGAGATTCAAAAAATAGCCAACATAAAAAGAATAGCAACAGAATCTTGGTACAAATGGCTAGAAGTTAGAGAGAAAGCTTTAAGAGCAGGTCCTAGTACTAGTAAGGTTTATCACATTTGCTAATTAACCTGTGAATGTTATAACCTCTTTTGCATATCTTATTTTTTGTATAAGGTAAGTGTAAAGTTCATTGTGTTTCTATGGCATAGCATAAAAGAATTATATCTTTGAGCCAAGAAAAAAAACTTCTTTTTATTGTAGCTTATACCTAAGCTAACCCATGATGTAAGAGTTTGCCTAACTCTACAAGCTAGAAATTGTAGGATTTTGTTGCTGGAACCCATAAATGTTGGCGGCTCCTAAGCCAAATTTTTATGTGCAGGTAAAAGAAAAATTAATGTGGTGTCAGGTATGACACCGTGTCACATCCCTGTTCCTTATACCACCATTAGCATCATTCATGCTTTGCCTTTGCAGATACAGCCACATGCTCCTGTTTTTGCCATTCTAACTTTGTTGTTTTTTTTTAATTATAATAATGTCAACTTTTAGTAGTTGCAAATGGGGTGGCAGCAGATTTTCAGAAACAATAACTTTAAAGAGAGACTTTTTTTATCCTTTCGTTGGGTTAAACCTAAAACTTTAATGTCCAAGCACCAACATTATTCCCCTTTTATAAACTACTGGAAGCACTTTAACAGCTAGAAGTCTAGAATAGCTATTTGTGAATTGATGTTAAAGATTTTCTTCATTTTCTTGACTTAATAGAGACCTTAGAGATAAGGAACTTAAAAAGTTAGGGATAATGTAAAAATCTTTAGATATAAGGATTTTAAGGAACAAATCAAATGTCTAGTCTGTGCAGAAAATCATTCATTATCTTGGATGAAAATCCCATTTAGAAACTTTTATGTGGGTGGGTTGAGGATTCTTTTCTCACTGATACTCAGCCTTAGATTTCCAAGAAGGGTTTCTGGAGATTGCGATTTTAATTTAGTATCATATATAATTTCTAGGAAACTACTTTGGGTGAAATACTATTAAAATATTTTAGGAAGTAGAACCTGTTTTACAGCCATAATTATATTTTAATCAACATGTGTTTGGGAAGCAGATTTTCTTATGCTTCTGAATATGGAGACAAAATAGGAGCAGTACCCTTAGTAGTAAAAGGATTCTGTATTGTGCTCACCTCACTACCTAGGCTGGGATAACCTGTGGTGAGAAAGTAGGGAACTTTTGTATTTCTCAAAATGGGTAATAGATAAGATGGTTGAGAAACACTGAGCTAGTGGAGTAGCTGAAAATAGTGTCTTACCTCTCATAGATGTGGTATTTGAGAAAAAACTTGAAAATTTTCTCTTGGTATATTTAGAATGTTATAATTTGCCATTTGGTATTTGTTCTTTTCTTAGTACAGAAACTCTTTTGTTAAATGTTTCAGATGAAGTCTAAGGCATGTTGGCAATGCTTTTTCTAGAGCCCTTCTTTCCTGAGTTTGCTTCTTCCTTTCATGTAGCTTTTCAAAATAATTAAATTTTTTAAATTACAATATCTTATTTATCATTTTGTTTTTTGTCATTCAAGCCAGTAATTCAGTACTGTTTTAGAATTTAGGTGACTGGTAGTTGAACTGAATGAGTAGTCAAAATAGATTGTTTAGATGCTATTCCAGAGACCGAGACAGTGTGGAATAGTCAGTGTCTGAATATTCATTACCTCAGCATGGGCAGTGTTTTTGTGTTTATGTGAGATTTATGATGATGTTTTTCTATCAAGAATTTTACCTTTCCATTTCCTTCCCTTCTCACTCTTCTTTTTTTCATCAGTGTAAACCAGAATACAAGGTACCTGGACTTTATGTTATTGACTCTATTGTGCGACAATCCCGACATCAGTTTGGTCAAGAAAAGGATGTGTTTGCGCCCAGATTTAGTAATAACATCATTAGCACTTTCCAGAATTTATATCGTTGCCCTGGGGACGACAAGGTATGCTGCTATTTTTTTTTTTTTAAGAGATACATTACCATATTGGTTTTCAGTTAGTCTTTAGATTGTCTAAATATAGTCACATGCCACATAACAATGTTTCAGTCAACAACAGACTACACATACAACCGTGGTCCTGTTAAGATTATAATACCATATTTTTACTGTGCCTTTTCTTGTGTTTAGATACACAAACACCATTGTGTTACACTTGCCTGTAGTATTCAGTACAGTGTCATGATGTACATGTTTATAGTGTAGAAGCAATAGATTTTATCATATGTAGTAGGCTATACTATATAGGTCTGTTTAATGCTTTGATATTCTCTGGACAACGAAATCACTTCACGAGGCATTATTTCTCAAAATGTATGCCCGTTGTTTGGCAATGCTTAACTGTATATGGCTTTATGTTATTTACTTTTAGTTAATTCAGATTTAAATGTTTAATTATTAAAATATCCATGTTCCTTCTTGTTCTCAGAATTTCTTAAGCAGAGTACAAAGATTTAGTTGATTTTCCTATTATTTAATTTATTGAAGCAATTGATGTTAAAGAAACTGCTACAATAAGTTTTTGGAATTACACTGAACATTTATGCACACACACAACTAATTCAGAATTGTGGTTATTTGACTTGAACTAATATTTAACATTCCATTGTCTGTGAAAAATGGATTTGCCAAGTAATCAGTAGAAAATAACTGTATATCAAAATTATTTTGTTATGGTAGGATTTTTATTGGTACTAGAAATCACGCTATTAGGTCTGTTAGATCTGAATGTGTACATATTGTATAATAACAAGTATAAAGAAAGCTTTGGACACTGAGGGGAATAAAAAAGAGTTGCTTATCCTCATATTTACCCTGAGAATGTTAGAAAGTTATTTATTTTGGGTGCTGATTTGGAAATTTAGGTGTGCAACAGGGTTGGTTGCAATGTTGATTAAGAAAAGATAAGACTGGATAAAGACTAATGTTTAGCTGGGCCTAGTGGCTCACACCTATAATGTTAGCACTCTGGGAGGCCGAGGCAGGAGGATAGCTTGAGCTCAGGAGTTCAGAGACCAGCCTGAGCAAGAGCGAGACCCCGTCTCTACTAAAAATAGAAAGAAATTAGTCAAACAACTAAAAACAGAAAAAGAAAAAAAATTAGCCAGGCATGGTGGTGCATGCTTGTAGTCCCACCTACTCGGGAGACTGAGGCAGAAGGATCGCTTGAGCCCAGGAGTTTGAGGTTGCTGTGAGCTAGGCTGATGCCACAGCACTCTGGCCCAGGCAAGAGAGCAAGACTCTGTCTCAAAAAAAAAAAGACTAATGTTTGCTTTAAGGAGGAACCAGTAAAGTTAAATGCTCACCACAAACCTTCCATCTCATCTCAAATATCACAAGATTAGATAGTTACTATATTTAATAACTATTATAGTCTTGAATCAGAAAAAAATCTTGTTACAATGAATAGATGTGGAGGTAAATTTATTATAGTATATTTTGTAAACTATCCTTGGATATACTTCTTGTGATAAAAAGTGTTTTTAATTACTTTGATATTTTGGTAATTCTATATAGGCAAAAAAAGAGTGCCTCTCATTTTAAGTGACTATCTTAATTTTCAAAATAGATATCTTAGAATCCCACCTGAAATAACTTGCTAATTTGAAATTTTATGTAAGCATTTTTTAAAGTAACTTTAAACACTTTGACTTAGAAATTTCACTAGTTTATCTCTCCATCTGGGTCCAAAAAGAAGAAAGAACAACAACAAAAAAAGAAATTTCACAAGTTTAGACTTGGATATTTATTAATTACAGTGAACAATCTGTCTTGAATTTGTAGGTTTCATAATATAATATCTCATTTATAATAGGGTTTATGGACTATGCCCTTTTTTTTAACCACAGGAGGAAAGAATCCATTAATACTGTAATCTCAGTCATAAGTGAGAGGCATTATTTGTTTGGATATATATGTATAGAATAATAGTTGTTAGGTATTGACCAATTTTGAAGTGCGTAAAGAGTGTCTTAGAAACTGAAAAGATTTTTATATAAAGCAAAAGAATGTAAGGCACTTTGCTCATGTTTTTGAAAGGAGAAATAGTCAAATCAGAAACTATAAAGCATTCTTTGGTGTAATTTATTATGCTTCATTTGAAATAATTTGTACATTAATGTAGTTTGAACATAGTTTAAAAATATGTCACTGTAATATTATGAGAGATTTAAAGATAAACCAGATCCTAATTCTGAAAATGGTTACTTTACCTTATAAAATATATACATTTAACAGAATGCTCTTTTTTATATTTAATTTTAGCCTCTGCCATTTAAATATTTTTTTCCTAATGAAGTAGCATCACAGTAGTAATAACTAGTACTTAGTGCTTGTTTATAGAACTTTCATATGTTAAACAGTTGTGAATCAAATTGGTAACAAGAAAATAGTTGCATAATCCATTCTGCTTTTATTAATAACAATATGAGTTCATGATACTGTGACTGTTATTTAAGTGTATAATCTGGGTAAAATGTTTGTATTTCAAGAAGCAAGACATAATAGCTGGACCAATTGATGTTTCTTCCAAAATACTGTAGAATATCTTGTAGAACAAAGATATTCTTCTTTGTTGGGCATATTTTTCTGCCTATAAGTCTGAAGCTTTCAGGGTCTTTAAAACTTCTAACACAAACAAGGGAGGCAGTTAAGTAGGAATTTTTCTACTTATGAAGTTCTCCCTTAAATATTACTAATTATGTTATTAGATTACAGAATGACCCAAGAATTAGAAGTCATTAATACTCAGTCTTTTCAAGTTTACAATACATAGACTATAACAGAAGAGACAGGCAACAATTAAACAGAATTTCACAACTAAATAAAATTTCATATGAAATCTTTTTTGGACCAAGATTAGGGTATAAGTAATTAAATAGATGTGTTTCATGGTGTTGCTGTAAGAAGAGCTGTAACTAATAAATAAGGCATATTTCTGTCCCACAGTGCTCAAAATTTATAAGTGGTTAAGGTATTTAAGATACTAGCCAGCCTAAACAATTTGATACAATTTGAGATTGAGAAAAATATCAAGAGAATCCTTTGTATATAGTCATATTTTATAAATGGGGACACTAAGGTTTATTTATTTATTTTTAATTTATTGACACAGCCTGAGACCAGGGTAAATCAGAAAGGTTATATAGATAGTATATATTTCATGAATTTTATAGCAGCTACATAAACATATGACTGACTGAAAAATTATCAAAAATACAGAGAATTCTGAATATTTAATCCAGAAAGGGTGAAACTAAAACAAAAATGTGATAGATTTGGTGGTAAAGGGATTGAAGTGGGAGTTGGAGTGAGCAATGTTCAGACTCTTTAGTGGGTAGAGTAAATTGAATGCAGTGCTGCTATTCAAGGGCCTATTATCAAGAAGAGAAAATCACTGAGATGGTTCACTGATGACAAGTCTGCTTGCCATTAGAAACAGGTTTTTAAATTTTTTTTTTCTTTTCAGAATGATAGAGGACTCATTATTGTGAGGAATGAAATAATGTGGAGCATTATTTATCATTCTGAGAGCCAGATTAAGTAATAGTAGTATGGCATTGACATTGTACAACAGGGGAGAGGGAGTAGGAAACAATAAGGAAAAGACACAATGAAGAGAGAAGAGATGGATATGCTTCAGATTCTACCTGTAGAAAAGTTTATCCATGTCTGGTTTATAATACAGTAGGGAATTAGAATTTCTGGCAAGATGTTTAGAAAGGAAGTAATTTGGTTAAATTCTTATATGAGGAAATACCCTCCCCTTAAGTAGCTTGTAAAATGAAAATTTTAAAAATCATGTTAGATAAGTACTTTGTCGTGAAATTACTTATTTGTTCAAAAGATAGACATTGTATGAGACAAAGTTAAAATCACCTGGAAATACAACTCTAGTACCATGTTTCCCCAAAAATAAGACCTACCCATAAAATAAGCCCTAGCAGGATTTTTAAGCATTTGTGCAATATAAGCCCTACCCCAAAAATAAGACCTAGTGATGGGCATGGCTATGCAGCGTATCTGCACAACCCATGCGTTTTGTTGCAGAACGGTAAGTAAAGACAACGAGCAGCCCTTCTCATCTGCCCCATGGTGACAGCTACTATCCCAGAGGTGACCAGAAAGGTGTGAGTAGTCCCACCAACAAGGTCGGCTCCCCCTGTGAGAGGTCTTGGCCATCCTGTGCATGCTGCAAGCCGAAGCTTTGAGGGGAAAATAACACATCCCCTGAAAATAAGCCCTAGGGTGTCTTCTTGAGGAAAAATAAACATAAGACCCTGTCTTAGTTTTGAGGAAACACGGTAGTCCTGAGATGAATTCTGACTCTGCCTCAGACTCCTTAAGATAGTTCTCCAGCCAATGGTGTCATCCATCTCATTAGAATTGACATAGAGGAGGAAGCCTATTTGTCATCTTTGTCTTCAGCTAAATGTAGCTTTCATTTATCTTGTATATCAGAATTAACATTTTTTTCCTGAGAGAGGGCTAGCAAATGCAGAATGATAGAAAACAGAATTTCAGGGTGGAAAGTAGCATGGAAGTGTTTTAATCCCTCCTTTCCATCCAATTCCCTAATAGCCTCTATGAAGATGGCTTTGCTAAGGTTTTGAAAGCAAAAAACAAAATATCATTTTTCTTTTCTCCCTCTAGAGTAAAATAGTGAGAGTATTAAACTTGTGGCAGAAGAATAATGTATTTAAGAGCGAGATTATTCAGCCTCTTTTGGATATGGCAGCAGGGATACCTCCTCCAGTTGTCACACCTGTTTTGGCTGGTACTACTGCTGCTATGAGCAATACTCCAGGTATGTTGCTTTAATGTAGATTTGTTGTCTAAATATTCTACTCACACTTATCAGATGATTTTTCATATAACAAATTATTTGACAGTATAGAATTTGTTCAGCATTAGATAAATGAAAGAAAATGTAACTCAAAGAGAAAAATAAAATCATATTTTATATTTACATGTAATTCTTTCTAAAATTTAGAAAGCTGGGTTTTTTTTAATCTTCAGAGACATAAATATAATGAACTTACAAAAATTGGTGTGTCAGGTTTGTCCTGATTTATACTATCTGTTTAAACTTGCATATAAATCAACTTAATATTTGTAGAATATTGGGAGAACTTAACATTTATAAGGAACCCTTAGAAAATAATTTAATAAACCAAAATCTTAAAATCATGGTTTTTCTGAGGCATTTAAATGACATTTAAAATTTTTGTCATAGTCTCAAGAATTAAATTTGTTAACATTTTGGTATTTAGTTTTTGTTCATACATGTGAACAAAAATGGTTTTATATGTACTGTATTTTAAAGTACAGTAGTCCTGTCATATCCACAGTGTTGCTATCCATGATTTCAGTTACCTGTGACCAACTGAAAATAGATGACTGCAGTGCAGTATTTGAAAGACAGAGATGGAGAAAGATACTACATTCACTTACCTTTTTCACAATATATTCTAGTTTTTCTATTTCATTATTAGTTACTGCTGTTAATCTCTTACTGTGCCTAATTTACAAATTAAACTTTATCATAGGTATCTGTATACATATAGAAAAAAACATAGCATATATAGGGTTCAGTACTAACCACAGTTTCAGGCATCCACTTGGGGGTCTTCAAACATAGGATATGGGAGGAATATGGTGATAGCTTAGTTTATTGAGGACAAGTGTGGACAGATACTTTGGGTTTGTTTGGTTTCTTTTTAACCTATTATAATTTGATAAAGGATTTCAAGTGATTTTTCAAAATGGAGTCAACATGATAAAAACTTTTATATAAATTTGTATATTTTATAAAAGTAATAGAACAAATACCTTTTCAAGTCTTATTTATTTACTTAAATATTTATTGGGGTGGTGTGATGTGCTTTTTAAAAGGAACTCCGGTGACACCTGTTACTCCAGCCAATGTGGTCCAAGGCTTACCTGATCCATGGGTATCTCAGATAACAAATACAGATACACTTGCAGCAGTGGCTCAGATCTTACAAAGTCCTCAAGGCCAACAGGTGAGCAATTTTTCTGTTACGTTGAGATTGATTTAAAATTTATTATTTTCCTAATGTATTGTTTCATAACATACTGCCTAGAGAATGTGTATTTTTTTTAGTTTTATAAAAGTGACATCACTATATATACTTCTTTATAACTTGTCATTTAATAATGCATTGTGAACACTTCTATGTCATCAAAGATTGTTTTATAAAAATTCATTCTATACCAAAATACTGATTTAGCACCTAATTTGTACCAAACATTATTAGGTGCTGTTGCACCCCAGTAACAAGACAGCGTGGTCTCCTATGTTGGAGAAGACTTCTTCCTATTTTAGGGGAGACAGACAATAAAAATATAGGACAAAACTATTTTAGATATTGATATGTGACTTTAGAAAGGATAAATCTGTAGAGTGACTGGGTTTGGGGGTCAGGGTCAGAATCAGAGGGGGTAGCCAAGAGGTGTCTTTGAGGAAGTAACGTTTGAATTGAGCCTTGAAATGGAACTAGTCATGGCAGGGTAGGAGAATAGGACGCAGAAAGAATTTTAAGTGTAGAAGTCGTGATGTGGTAAGCAGTGTGGTGTATTGTAGGAATAGAAAGGTTTCTGTGGCTGGAACTTACGGAGAATAGGGGAGTCAACATCATATGTGTGAATTCATTTGAGGAATGCAAAAGATTGGTGTCTTCACAATGTCAAGTTATTCCATTGTACCTATACATTTATTGTTCATTCATAAAAGACATCTTTTATGTCTCTTAGTTTAGCTTTATACCTTTTTAAATGTAGTTTCCTCACATTTCTTGGATTTATTTCTATGAATATATTTCAATAGATTTGATTTTTATAGTCACCGTCAGCCTGATTGCTGTTAGTTTTTAATTGATTTCCTTTCATTTTTCAGTTATATTATTTGCAACTAATGGTAATTCTTTATCCTGAACTTAAGTATTTAACAATGTATATATTTTTCTTATTTTATTGTACCAGCTCTAAGTTCCAGAAGAGATTTTAACAGAAGTAGTGATAGCACTCATTCATTTTTATTTTTTCAGACTCAGATAGAAACGCCTCTTTTGTTTCTCAGTATCAAGTTGGTTTTGTTTGGAGATACGTGCTCTTTCTTAGGGGTATATTCAGCTTTTCTTAGATGATAGTGTTTTTATTGGGTTTTGATTTAAAATATTATCAGTGAAGATAATAGTATGGGTTTTCTTCTTTAACCGGTGGTTATAATGAATTAGATTACTTGACTTTCTCATAATGATTCAGCATTGCAATTCTATACACACATAAACACAATTGAACTTTTCTGAGGCAGTGCATTCAAATATTCTATAATTTTTGTTTTTTGAAAAGAGTTGTGAAATGTAAATTCTTTTGCATCTATTATAGTTTTCTATTTGTCACTATTTTGCAACCCTTTGAGGTGAGACGAGTCTCTAGTTTTTATCACTATTCTCGGTTTTTAAATTAGGGTTATTTCTGGCTTTGTGAGATGAGTTCAGAAATGTTTACCTTTTTAATATTCTGTATAGTACAACTTGACTACTTACTTTCTGTACCTAGATGTTTTTAGATGAACTTAATCAAAAAACCTCCAGGGCTTGGTGTGTTGTAGATTATTTTTTGATAACATCTTCAAATTTTTTCTTTGTTATTTTTATCCACTTATTCTACCTTTCCCAAATAGGCTTCAATAAAGATATTTATGGTTAAAAACCATCGATTTTGTTACTTTTCCATAATTGTACACAATTCTTTAAAAATTTAACTTTGGCATGCACATCTGATGTATGTTGTGTTTTTGCTGTTTTTAGATTTGTGTTTACTAGAGTTTTTGCTTTTTCTTTCTTTCTGTTACTACCCTAGTCTTCCTTCAATTTTGGACTATTGATGTCATAATCTAAATAGCCTTTGGTATCTTTGTATCTTTTCCCTTTTTGATCCATCATTTTATTTCTCTGAATCTTTAAAAATGGTCATATATATCTATATGCTCAGAAGCATGCAGTAATTACTTGTTATACATAGAGTAAAATCCATCCAACTTTGTGGCATTTAATGTTATTCTCAGTGTAACCTATTATTTTTTTCAACTATTTTTATTATTTATATCACATAGATTTATAGATTTCTCTAAATTAATGTAAGTATTTTTTTTTGCTCATGTTACTCTTCCTTTTACTTTTATTATATGCTTTTCCATTTGCCTTACATCTCACCCTTTCTTCACTATTCAAATCAAGTTAAACTGTTTCAGTGCTTGTTTGGTCTCTGAAGTCCAGTGGTATTGTGTCCCTTCATTGGTACTTGTTTTTCATTCAATTCCATTCAAGTCCAGTCAACAAGCATTTACTGTGACTTGCAATGTTTGAGACACAGTACTTTTTGCTGGGGTATGCAAGATAAAGAAAAATATCCTCTGGTCTCTGGACACCTAGAGTTTAATAGGCAGTGTTTATTGGAATGCGTAAATGTAAGAATCATGGGAGGGCCAGGCATGGTGGCTCATGCTTTATAATTCCAACACTTTGGGAGACTGAGATGGAAGGATCACTTGAGGCCGGGAGTTTGAGACCAGCCTGGGCAACATAGTGAGACTCTGTACAAAAAATTTAAAAATTAGCCAGGCATGGCAAGCATTTGCACCTGTAGTCCTAGCTTCTTGGGAGGTTAAGCTAAGAGGATCACTCAGGTCCAGGAGTTCGAGGTTGTGGTGAGCTATGATTGAGCCACTGCACTCCAGCCTGGGCAAGAGAGCAAGATTCAGTCTGTTAAAAAAGAAAAATCATGGGAGTAGTAAAAGGGCTTTGAAAATTCAGAAGTAAAGATAATTCTTTGGCTTGAATAATTGGTTCAGGGAAAATTCTATTGTACAGATGATATTTAATTTTTTTAAAGGATAGGTAAGAAAGACACGCTAAGGATCAGCTCTGTAGATAGAAGACTATTGAGAGTAAAAGATGAATTCTTAATCTTTCAAACAAAACCTCTTTTACCTGCATCTTCATTTAATGGAAATGTTGTTTTTCTAGTTGCTCAGACTCAAAAGCTTAGAGTCATCCTTGATTTTTCTCTTTGTTTCATTCTTCATATCTAGTCTCTTAAGAAATCCTGTACCTTCAGAATATGTTCTTAATCTTCTAACCACTGCTCATCACCTTTATCACTAGTTCCTAGGGTTGAGCCACCATCGTTTCTCACGTGTTCCTTTGTTTTATTTGTTTTTTAGAGACAGATCTCTTTCTGTCTTCCAGGCTGGAGTGCAATGGGTGTGGTCATTGCTCTCTGCAACCTCAAACTCCTGGCCTCAAGTGATCCTCCCACCTCGGCTTCCCAAAGTGCTGGAATTAAAGGCATGAGCCACCATGCACCGCTTTCACGTGTTTTATTGCAGTAACCTCTTAATGGGACTTCCACCCTTGTTTCACTACAGTCTGTTCGTACTCCCCCAGGCAGAGTGACCCTTCTAATACATAATCACTCATGTAACTCCTCTGCTCAGATTCCTCCAGTGGCTCCCTGTCTCAACGCCCTGAAAGCCCAAGTCTTAACAATCACTTCACGAGGTCTTGTATGCTCTCAGTTTGACCTGTTGTTCCCTTTCCAACATTTTCTATCACTGATCAAATATTTTTTCTAAACTAATGGTACGTATTTTCTCTGCTCATGTTGCCACCCATGCTGCACAGTTTATATTATCACTTGCTTCACTTCCTAAACTCTTTCTCCTTGAGACTTGTTCCACTCTAGCCACACTGGCCTTATTGCTGTTCCTTACATATACTACTTATAATCCTGCCTGAAATCTTTGCACTTGATGTTTTCTGTACTGAAAACCCACTTTTCCTATATATTCATATGATTTCAACCTCCTATAAGTCTTTGTTTAAAGATCATCTTAATAAGGCCCTCAGTGACTGCTATTTAAAATTGTATACTCTATCTTTTATCCTCTGTATACTCCCTCCCTTTCTCACCTGCCATATTTCCTTCATTAGCACTCAACTACCTTCTATGGTGTTATATAATTTGCTTATTTGTTTTTTCTCTATCTCTCCTTGCTGGAATAGATGCTGTACAAGGACAAGGATGTTTGTTTTCTTCACTGCTGTATTTCTAGTGTCTAGGTTTTAGTAGGTGTTATATAAGAGAATATATTGTTGTGGAATGAATGAATGAATGAATGATGTATGGAAGCATAGCAGTGTTGGGTATACAAAAGATGTTTTGGAATTATCTGGAGGAAAAGATAATCAGTGTGTGAGATACTAATAACAAGGTTGAAATGGCAGTCTTAAGTGAGACATTGGTTGTGAACACTGTAAATGTTGGACTGAGAGATACAGGGCTCATTTGCTGAGAAATGGAGAATTGCCAGAGATTTTTATGTTGAAATCATGATCTGAACAATGCTTTAAGTGAATTGGACAAGAAAGAAGTCTAGAGACAGTGAATATCTTTTTTGGTAATAATGATTTTGGAAAGGAAGTAATGACTATAAAAAAATAGTAAGGTTGGGTACTCTCTGAAAGGATGGTTTCAAAAACATGAGACCATTCTAGACTTTTACAAATATAGAAGTCAATTCAATGTATAGTCTTAGATTGATTCTAGTCTACATTTTTGAGACAGTTGGGAAACTCAATGCAGATGTCAAAAAGAGCAGTTAAATATGTAAAGGAGAAATACAGCATTTCTTTCCTTTCCTCCCATCCTCTCTCCCTCCTTATCCTCCCTGCCTACTTTGTTTTCCCTCCTTTCCTTCCTTCCTCTATCCCTCCCTCCTTTCCTTCCTTCCTCATAGTGATTTAGAGGATTCATGTTGTCTTGTGTTTATTTGTGATCTTAATTGTTCTGGAGCTTCCTGAGTACAATAAGTTAACCAACATAAGTTTTATATTTTCTTTGCTGTCATATTAGTGGTTTTGTAGAAAATATTTAGTTGATAGTTAGATGACTCTAGTTTCCTAATGTTCCTATTTTAGATAGAAACAAAATTTTTTTTATTATTTTTTTTACTGTCGTCTTGCATGGTGTTTGTTCCTTCTACTGGAAGTTGAACTTTACAGATCTTTTGGTTATCAGTAGCTTTGCTGTTTTTATATTTCTCTTCTAAACTGATACATTTTGGATTTAACTTAGGATTAGAACTTGATTGATTATCAGTTATTTCTAGGGTTTTTAAATCTATAGAATCTCTTAAAGATCTTACTATTATGTATCTTTTTTTTAACAAGGATGGGTGCATGGTGGGAACATAGATTGCTTTCAACTCTAGATGGCACAGTTCATTATTAATAACTCATTTCCTTTCATATCAGACTCTAAGAAACAAATTTCTTAACTGTTCTTCACCTTTCAGGAAATGTATTCTGAGATGACAAATTTGAATGATAGCAAAAGATGTTACTGTTTTCAGTGATTGTTCCTTTACAGAATTTAAGGAGTTAATTGAAGCAGGCAGGTATAAGAAGTTTAGTGGGAAAGTGGGTTCTTTATTATCTGTGGTGATATGACCACTTTCTTTTGTTTAAAGTTCACTGACTTTCCTAAAGCAATAGAGACTTAATAAGGACTGTTAATATCTGGTGTACAAAACAACTTTTTAAAAAACTTAACTGTTGTTTTGAGTTAGCAGGGTTTTTTCTTGATCTCATAAGAATGTGTAGAATGATTAATTTTATTGACTAAAAGTTTTACACGGGCACTCTTATAAATAAAACCCAATGCCTGTTTTGTAATAACTTTTTTTCCTCTCCAGCTCCAGCAGTTAATACAAACTTTACAGCTACAACAGCAGAAGCCCCAGCCTTCCATTCTACAGGCCCTGGATGCCGGTCTTGTCGTCCAATTGCAAGCTCTTACAGCACAACTTACAGCTGCAGCTGCAGCAGCCAACACTCTTACTCCCTTAGAACAGGGAGTCTCTTTTAACAAGGTAGAAATTAAATATCAAATCTGTTGTAAATGAATTATTAAATTTTATGTACTCTTGTGTGCATTCTAATTCTATAAATATATTTTGTCATAGACTTTTAATATCCACTGTACTGTAGAAATTATGAATTTTACAAAACATTCAAACTGAATAAATCAAATAATTTAAAAATTCCTCTGGAAACATTTAAGATATTTTCTTTTGGCTAACGATAAATAGAAAGATTTTGTGGTCTCCTTTGAGGCAAGTGATTATTTTCTGAATTTGTCTAATTTCTTTCATGAATGCCACAGTTTTATTAATTGTGATATACTGTGTTCTATAATTTTATCCTGCTAAAATTAAAACTGTTCAATATGTGAAAGTTCAAAGGATAACTTCTCCACAGCTTGTCACTATGCTATACTATGATAAGTTGAAGCCTAAGTATAAAAGATAGTGTTTTTAAAATATAAAATCTTTTATGTATAATTTATTGTATGATATCCTAAGTATGCTTCTTAATTATGGGAATATCATAATACTTGGAAGTGGTATTCATATCTTTTATTTCTATTATTTTTATAGGAAAGTAAATATTGATTTATTAATACTAGATTATTACTTAGACTTTTTTAAACGCTAGCAGATCCCAAGTCTAATTTAGTCTAACTCTAAATAGCTAGGCCACATAAAAAGCCTTTAATTGAGCATTCAGAAGAATAGTGGAGTATTCCAAAATGAGAACCATACGAGAGGTAGATCTATTGATTATGGTCTTAGATATTTTATCAAGTTGTATTACCATGGGAAAGCCACTTAATTATTTTAATCCTTAGTCTATTTTTCCATAAAATCAGAGCATTAATGTTTATCCTGTGTATATATTGTAATTTGTTTTGTTACATGAGGTAATATGTCAAAGTACTTTAAAGAAAAGTAAAGATCCACTCATAAAATGCTTTATAATAATAGAGTATAAAATGATATAGAACATTTATATATTAAATGATAGAGGTAAATTAATGGAATATTACTGACATTTTAAAGTAGCATTTGCAACTTATATTTGTGTGAAGTACTTCTTAATTTGTCTCTTTTCCCTTTCCCCCAGAAGTTGATGGATAGGTTTGATTTTGGGGAAGATTCTGAGCATAGCGAAGAACCAAAAAAGGAAATTCCAACTTCTCAACTGTAAGAATTATGTTTTTCTTTATAGCCATAGTATTTTTGCTTATTTTTGTAAGTATTAGAAGGGATGTTGCCATCTGAACTACTGAGTACACTTTGAATAAGCTGGGGTTATTACTTTAAATTTTTGAGCTCTAACACGATAGCAAGGTTCTGGAGATATTGTCTTATTGCCCTTCCTGTATTATTTGGACTCTTTCTCAGATCTTTGCAAATAGTTGGGGTATATTAAGTTCCTTATAGGTAAAATTGATAAATATTGGTAAATCTAGTGATGATATTTTCTGTATCTCCAATTTAATTCAATTGTAAGAATGTTTGCGGTACTAGGAACGAAACTTGCTTCTAGTGCCAAAGGCCACTTCTAGGAAGTTACCAGATTCTGGGAACACATCAACCTAATCAGAAGTAAGAATTGGGTTTATAGGGATTTTGCTTTTTAAAATGGGTTGTATGCTTTTACGTGAATGTGATTTTTTTTTTCCCCCTAAACAATTCTGCAGAGCCTTAGATTCTGTGGGGGTATGTGAAAGGACCAGTAGGAGGAAGATGTTGCAGGAAAGGGGGCAGTGGAGGTACTGGAAGAGGGAGAATAAATGGTGAAAGTGGCTGGCACTCTTGTTTCAAACAGTGATTATTTTATATATTGGGGATAATATATAAAAACATAATTATAGAATATATTAAATACAAATATGTCATTTTGGTAAAGTGATTCTCCCTGACAAAATTAAAAACTAGTAGTTTAGATTATGAATATACAGTTGGAAGAACCATATGAGATCATGCAGGAGTCCTAAACAATGTAAGAATCTTTTTTCACAGTCTTGATAGAGGGTTATTAATCCATTTTAACACCTTCTGTGATGAGAGGTTAAGTAATTATTATTATGCGTTCTTTTGTTGAACTGAATTCCATTTCCTTTATTTTCTACACATTGGTCCAAGTTTCACTTTCTGAAGCAAGGAAACAGATTTATTCCATTATCTTTGGAGACATAGCTTTTCAATATTTGAAGATAGGTATCGTTCTTCCCCTTAGGTTTATTTGCTCCAGATGAAGTACACTTTTTTCCAACTGTTTCAAGACTTCTCACCATCCTGCTTGCCCATTTTGGGATGCCCTCTTTTTTGTTCATGTCTTACCTTGTGGCACCCAGAATTCCAGGTGTATTCCAGGTGTGAATTTCCCAGAGTATAGTTAAATTATTTCCTCTTATCTAAATACTGTCTATTTGTTTTAATATACCTAATATATATGCTTTTCTAAAGGAAGCATTTTAGTTTTATAAAGTATATGGTCAATTATAATTGTGGAGTGATAGATCATTTTTCTCAGTATCATAGCTAGAGAGGGAGTTAAAGTGACAATGTTTAAACTTTTTATGTGTTATATTGAGGTATTCTTAAAATGCGCTAATGAAAAGCACTAATTTGTATGTATTTAATAGCATGAGACAGTGATATTAGGTCTTCAGCAGAGCATCTCTAACAAGTTATCCATCTATTGAAATACTGTTGAAGAATATATTTCTCTTTTAATGTATTAATGTTAAGTGTTCCACTTTTGGTTTTAAAATTTCAAAACCAAACATTGTAGTAAAGTATGTTTTATTCAATTGGCATTTTTTGTTTTGTTTGAATATTCAGTGTATTTTCATATTATCGTTAGTGGGTTTTAAAATATATTCCCACTTTTTTTTTCTTTTAGTTCTCATGTTTCAGAATCTGTGAACAATTCCATTTTTCATCAGATAGCAGAACAACTACAACAGCAAAACCTTGAACATCTCAGACAGCAGCTCCTGGAACAACAGCCTCAAAAGGTTATAACCCCATCTTGTGGTCGTTAGAGTTATTGCTGTCTGTATTCTGTAAATTGCATTTCTGTGGAGTGGTTTATTTTTTCCTTTGTTCTTAACAGATGAATATCTTCTTACCTGTTTAGCTTTTACCAACCACTTTATTTCTATCTAAAATATAAATGTGGTGATATTTCAACTATTTGTTACTAATAAGATCAGTCTTTTCAGGACCTTTATGGTTTTTTCTGTAATCAAAATGAGTCTGCCAACTTAAGAATGCATGGTGTAGAAATTAATTTCAGTATACTATAAGTAGAGAACAGAAGACAGAGGTAGGGTTTTAGAACTACCTTAGAGCTTCATGTGTTTTTCTCTCCACTCTGTTCCCTGTCAGCAAGGTAATGATGGTTATGTTATTGGTGGTAATGGGATGATGACAAAATAGATTGTGGTCTTTAATTTTAAAAATTTAATTGCTCTTATCATATGACAGGAACTTTATCAGGCATATAATTAATAGGCATGATTACATTTAATCCTCACAAGATAGGATTATGACTCTCATTTTACTCCAGAGGCATTTGAAGCTTGGTGATATCTAATAATATCTGAGATATCTAATACAGAAGTATACAGCTAATGTATATGATCTGTCTTAAGACATGCTCTTATTTTATATATAGCTAAGCAATTTAAAATACTTTTAACTAAAGTACAACGTACCTTTTAGTTGTAAGAATCTTATAAATTTAAATGTGACATAATATTGCACCTTAGAGTGGATAAGATGTGTCAAGTTGTAGAGGTAAGATTAAATCCATTATAAAGTCTATTTCTGCTCTATATGAGAAATACTTGTAAATGTGAACTGTTTAGAATAAGAGTGTCAGGACCTCCCCTCACCATCACATACTTCTGCCTTAGATTTAAAAAAAAAAATTGTCATTAACGAATTTAACATAATACCACAGATATTTTTTAAGTAAGAGCAATGCAAATGATACATACAAAGATGAGTAGAAAAGAGGTTAATTGAGGCTCTGGCCTCAGGTAACCTTTTCTTTAATGGAACACATACATCTGTATGAACACATTGCAGTATTATTTAGTTCTATAATAAGGGGTACCCAAGTGAAGGACTGTGGGAGTATAGAGTAGGGAACAATTCAAATGGAAGGAATAGCAAACTTTAGACACTGTTAGGGTTTGAGCTTGACTTTTTAATGCAAATAGCAGATATAAAGCAGAAATTCGTGATAATTTCCGGGTTGAAACTCATGCCTAGAATTCTGAGAATGGAATTTCATACCTTGTTTTGAGGAAATAATTCTGATAGAAGTGGTAGGAGGGTAAGTATTTTATGTCAAGCATATAATATCTGCCTGAGAATCCAGGAAGTTGAAGATAGAACACAATGAAGAACATTTGGATGGTTTTTAAAGAAAAACACAAATTGTCCTTCAAAGAAAAGGAACAGGTCATAAATGACATAATAATACAAAATCACAGAACTATTATAGAGGCAAGAAGTAGTAGTGGTGAAAGTTGATTTAAAATAGATTTTTTAGCTATAAATGTGACACTATTTGAATTGCCTTAGTCATAGTTTCATTTCAGAAATTTAGCATAACCACTAAAATCGAGGTAATACTCTTGACAAGCTTGTAATTAATAATAATAACCATGTTATTGAAGTGAAAGTTAGTAGAAATTAGAGTAGTCTGTCTTAAGAATCTCACTCCCCCCCCCCAAAAGGAGAACTCTGTATATTCCAAAATTTCACAGCATACAGTAATAAGATTTCTTTGAAAGGAGTAGAAGTTTTCAAAAGCTTTGTTGTTCAAAAATGAATCTGATGAGGAAAAGAGAGTGGTGAAGAATGAAGCTAGAACTGTTTTCTAATGCCTAAGATGAATAGTGAGTATAAGACCTATGGCAGATTTAGAAAGGAAAGTATGTTAACTAGGGTAACAGTTAAAATTAATAAATTGTGTAATTGGCTCTACCAAACCAGTTGCATTAGTGTACTTAAAATAGGGTGAAATATGTAGAAAAATGGTGCATTTTTGTTTACCAGTAAACTCAGTATGGCTGCCTGAAAGTTATCATAGTGTCTTAAAGGAATAGGATTGGTAGTACCACCCTACTCGTTGCAGGTCTAACCACACCTGAAGTGTGTTGAGGTCTAGTCTGCATAAAAGTAGAAAACCGTTGAAAATCCGGAGCACTTTTCTGGAGGAAAATGGCCAGAATTGTGAAGTTACTAGAAATCATGTAATAAAAGGAATAATTTCTACTATTGTATCTTGAGTAAGTTGGAGTTCATGATTTTGCTAATTGTAATATTAGAATATTCAAAAGATGTTAGGAGAGCTATAGCTCAGAATGAAATGCTGATGATAAAAATGGTTAAGACTAATATAAGAGGATTTTAAAAGAATGTTAAGAATAAAAAAATTAAAGATGATCCAGCCCATTAATGATGAAGAGCTTTCAGTGGGATATCAGAAATATGTAACTTATTTTGCTTCAGAAATTTTTTATATAGGAGAATATATAATGGGAAGAGTAAAACTGAACATGATGAAGTCTAAGATGGGTAATATCCCTAAGTTGTTATAAATAAGTAGTTGTGTATCGGCACAGATAAATTGCATTTCAGGATACTAAAGTTGTAGTGTTATTAGACTCATAAGCCAGGAAATTGCTGTAGACAGAGCATATGCAGATTTCTGTAAAGTCTTTGACAGTCTTTCCTGTCGCTTCTACAGAAAGAATAAGAGAAAAGTGGATTCATAACCGAGCAAAACATGACACATAATAAGTGTTAATGCCAACCTTGAAAGAAGTCTTTGCTAGCTGCTGTTATCCTTGTCTTTTATTTTTTTCAATATTTTTATTGATGTTTTGCATGAAGGTATCATTGAAGAAATTAGAGTATAGTGTATGCTGGGATGTATACCAGAAAAAATAGTAATTTACCACCTGAATCCAGTAGACTCTTATTTTTTAAATATACTTTTAGGTCATCTGACAAATAATTTATAGAAGTGAGCACTAAAGGGAGGGAGGGAAAAATTTTATTTGGAATTTCAATATAATTTAAATTTAGCAAACCTTTTTGTGTCAGTGAAATTTAAATGTCACGTGCTCTTATAGCAACACGGAACATTCTAGGTTTTTATTGCAAAATACTGTAAGATGAAGTCCTTCCTATTGAATGGCTAATTGGATGAGAATAGCGTATTTCCTTTCTTACTTTTTGTCCCTAGATATATTTTTTACTTATCAGTTTTATGGGTTTTGAGAAATACTTGCCCTAAAGGGTATGGTCATGTGAAGACTCATGATCTAATATTTTGCTTATATGTTAAATTTCACCATTATCATTAGAGTTTGGAATGCTGCTGTTTCTTTGCATTCATCTTCTGCTTTGTCTAATCATTGTGAAATATATTCTTCTGTCAGTTTTCTTCTCTTTACCATTATTGGCAGAAAATTAAAAAATCTGAATATTCAACCATGTTCAAGGAAAGCTAAAAAAGCAAACTGCAAGGATGGTACCTCTACTGTTTTTCTTCAAATATAATGCATTAAATCAAATGTAATGCATTAAAACTGAATGATGATAGTATAATGCAATATTTTTGGTAATGCATTAAAACCAAATTATTTCACTATAGAATTATCCTCAACAATTTCATTATTTTTTCTTTATAAAATTGGGGAATAATTGATAAGTAATGATGAGTAATGAATTCCTGGCATGATGAAATGCCAAAATGTTTCAAAGTATAGGAAAATAAGACTTTTTTGGAGGGGGAGGAGACATGGTCTGGCTCTGCTGTTGCCTGGGATAGAGTGCAGTGGCATCATCATAGCTCATGGCAACTCACGCTCCTAGGCTCAAGTGATCCTCCTGCCTCAGCCTCCCAAGTACCTGGGACTACAGGCACATGCCACCACGCCCAGCTAAGTTTTCTACTTTTTGTAGATGTGGGTCTTATTCTTGCTCATGCTGGTCTTGAACTCCTGACCTCAAATAATCCTTCCACCTTGGCCTCCCAGAGTGCTAGAATTACTGCATACCTGCAAGATCATGTTTTAGGAGATTTTATCTACCAAGTCATTTTTTCATAATGAATTTCTTATTTTTCAGTTAAAACTATAATACAGTCAGCACTCTGTACTAATCCACATGAATGAAGTGGTGTGGAGGCATCATTTTAGCTATTTTAAGTAACCTAGAGATGATTTATGGTATATAGAAGGATGTGCATAGGTTATATGCAAATACTGTGCTATTTTATATAAGGGACTTGAGCATCTGGATTTTGGTGTCCTTGCAGGTGTCCTGGAAGAAATACCCCACAGATACCAAGGGTCAACTGTATATATAATTGCTAATCAGATTCATACTGATTAACATGAAGTAAACATTATAACTATATCAAGTTACTATAATTCTCTTTTGGGGAGGATGTGTTCAAATTCTAAGTGTTCCTATAATTAGGCTTCATTGCCTAACTTTTATTAGAATTTTTGAAATATTTTACGTATTTTAAAGTACTTCCTATTATTATTTTGTGAATTCCTCTTGAAGGATATTGAGGAACATCCAAGTTGATAATGGTTTTGCTAGATCAGTGATTTTGATACTGGCATTTGAGCTTTGTTTTGCCTTTTTATACATGTAATATGTGAATATATTTTTTTTATATAAATTACTTGTACTTTTCATTAGCATCTTTATTAGTGCTAATTGTCAATGAAATTATAGATTCTTTTATACCATTATGTACATTCATGATATAATTTCTTTATTAATCCTCTGTAGTTTATATTGTCCACAATTAAAATTTGTTGAAGACCTTAGTTGATCATATTATTCTAATATTATAGTCCCCACCTTTTATGGAGCTATTTCCTGCATTTAGGTAAACTCAGATTAATATAGTACAACTTCAGATTGATTACTTCATAATTGATGTGACATTTCTTTATGTATTGGGCTCCTTTTTAAACATGTAATTGTGTGATGCTTGCTGTGTTTAAATTTTCATTCAGAATAAAATTATCTTCCAATGTTTGTGTGCTTGTAATGTTCTCAATAGGCCACTCCTCAGGATAGTCAAGAAGGAACATTTGGGTCAGAGCATTCAGCTTCACCATCACAAGGGAGCAGTCAACAGCATTTTCTTGAACCTGAGGTCAATTTGGATGATTCCATAGATATTCAGCAACAGGTAATATTCAGCTTTTCTGGGTCATAAATGTCTAAAGTTAAAACAAATGTATTTTAGTTAAAGAAAACATTGTATAAAATATTGTGTAATGGCAGTGTCCCAAATGTATATTTCCCCACACTTAAGATCCACTTCTGTTTTACTTATAAATTAGGCATTAATGTAAATATTGTGACTATTTTTAAAGGCAAAATTGTTAATATATAACTGAATCTCAGTCAACCTTTTTGTTTGCTATTCTTTTGACTTTTAAGGATATGGATATAGATGAAGCGCAAGATGCAGTGGAAGAGGAGATTTTTGAACAAGAAACTAAGAAAGTGGCGGTTCGCTCAAGATCAAGAACACATTCACGATCTCGTTCAAGGTTCTGTAATAATATTTAGCTATAACTGTGTGTGAACTTTTAAAATGTTGGCTTTATTTCATTGCATCAAGATTAAAGGAGATATTTTTCCTGGACTGACATCTTTTTTTACAGTCTCAGAAAAAAAGTAATTCAGAATTTCAAAAACAGATGATAACCTTTGTTCTGTTTTTAATTGGGTCTATCTGTAGTCATTTATTTGAGTAAGATACACAAGAGTGGCAGCCATGTCATGAGAGTAGGATTTTGGATTTTACTTGATTTTAGATAATTTTACGACACTGGCAAGTTTAGTATAGGATTGCCTCTGAACAACAGTTAAATCACAATATATTTCTTATATTCCATTTCGTTTCATGATAACAAAAATGGTCATGAAAATTGCAAAAATTGTTTTTATAAATGTTAACTATAATACCAAGCCATTATAAAACATGTCTCATAAATGGTTTTCTTTGTGAACCTAAAGTCATCAATCAGTCCTTAACATTTTTATACCCTATTTTTTACATGTGAATGCCCCTGAAAATCTGAACAATAAGTACTGGAAGAAAGGCATAAAAGCATTGTCCTTGATGACATTTTCAGACATTTCTTATTCTTATTAACAAAGTTTTCTGTATGTTTATCTCTGCAAATGGGAGTCTGTCAGTTTAACTTTCTCTGAACCTACCTCATGTCAATGAATTATTTCACTGAAACAATTATAGTGCTGAAAGCTTCATTATTTGTCTTCCCAACACTTTATTAACCATTTTGAGGCGAGCTCAGTGGCATATATATGTTTCGCAGGAATAAAAGAGTGTTTCAGTATGACCTTCTATTATAAAGTTAGGCACCATAAAATTTTAGAAGTTGAAAACTACTAAGCTGAATTATATAGTAGCCTAATGCTCTGTTGGAAAAATGTAACATCGTCATTACTTAAAATTGAAAGTGACACCCTTTCCATTATCTCATTCTTCCCTTCTTCTTCTTGATGATGAATAATCACCTAAATTCAAAATCACTGCAAACAAACATGTGTGACTAATGTAAACTTAAGCAGTGCAGAAATTCAGTAAAGGGCCTGTTTGATACTTGATTGTACTATAAAATCTTTTAAGAGGTACCTAAATATTAATATAAGACAATCTTTTTCTTCCCCGTCACTTAGAAGTGACAAATTTGATACAAGGATAACGTTGTTAGAAGTGAAATAAATTTTTTTTTGTAGATCACCAAGGAAACGAAGGTCTAGATCACGGTCAGGTTCTCGAAAGCGTAAACATAGAAAGCGATCACGCTCCCGCTCAAGAGAAAGAAAGAGGAAATCATCACGTTCATACTCAAGTGAAAGGAGAGCCAGAGAAAGGGAGAAAGAACGACAGAAAAAAGGATTACCTCCAATTAGATCTAAAACATTAAGTGGTAAGTAACACATTTTTACAAAGTTTTGGTTTTGATAATATTTTTAAAATAGTTGTCTGCTACAAAGTCTCTCAGGCAAATCTTATTTTCAGACTAAGAAGTGGAAAAGTGGTTTGGTAAATGAGTAATTTTGTCCTTAGTTTTTATAACATACTAGAGAAGAGAAAGAGTAGATTCTACTCAGGTAAGGTTATTGAGAGTTGATTTTCTTTTTCTTTTTTTAATGAAAGTTAGAAAATATATCTTGGCATAGTGGCTCATGCTTATAATCTTAGCACTTTGGGAGGGTGAGGAGAGGGGATCACTTGAGGCCAGGAGTTCAAGATCAGCCTGAACAACATAGTGAGGACCCCCACCCCCCACCCCCCCTGCATGTCTCCAAAAAGAAAAATTAGTGGGGCATGGTGGCATGCACCATATAGTCCTATCAAAAATGGAAGCTGAGCCAGGAGGATCGTGGGAGCCCGGGGGTTTGAGGTTGTATGAACTGTGATCACACACCCCACTCTAGCCTGGACTACATAGCAAGATTCCTCTCTCAAAAGTAACAGAAAATATGTCTTAACTGATGATATATAAAGCATTCTGGCCTACAACATGGACACAGTGACTTCTATTCATACTATCCTAACCAATTATGACCACCAGGTTTGTAGAAGTAATTATCCAAAGTATATACACTGCTATAGTTTTTAAAGCAAATTATAAATTTATGGATTATTACTAGGGGAAAAATACCTATTTTTACAAACTTTTTCTGCTGTTACAAGTTAATATGTATGATTAGAGCAACTTTGGTAATGGTGGTGTTTGTTTTAGGAGCAGGCTAGGGGAGGGTTCACTTGGGAGGAATGTTAAGTATAGCAATATTAGTGTCATATTCTGCCTAGAGGATTGTAGTGGGTTATGACTTCTAAGGTGAACTAAGAGATTACAGACAGGCAAAGAGGTACATAAAATGGAACAAATTGTCATTCCTTCCAAAGAGCTAACATTGATCATGTTATCTAATTTCTGAACGTCTCCAAATAAATTTCTTCTGCCAGAGAGATAGGTAAATAATTGGTGTAATTTATACTGTTAGAGCATCTTGGAAACCCAGGCCTATAAACAAAGGTGACAGCCATCTTCTTCCTAAGTTTTGGTGATTCGTGTAGGCTTTGGCTGTCCTGTCTGCATCTTATCAGCTTATTAGAACTAGTATTAATAAAATTGATATTCCTAACTCTGGAAATTTCTTTTTCACCTAAGAGTAAGAGACCTAAATTTAAACATTTTAGTGCTGGCTGTTAAACAATGTCAGAGTTCTGACCACAAAACTGTACTGTGCTTCTCAAATGATTACCGTTAGGACATTCAGAATCATCAATTTATTCACCAATATTAGGGTAGGGCTTTTATGTGGAATCTTTTTCATTTAGTTCTTCACCTAACTTGTGTTGTTGTTGTCAGTGTTTACATAGTTATTGACCATGGACTTGATTTTTTATTTGTCTTATTTTCATGGGTAGAACATACACTAAAAAAAAAGAAAATTCAAAAAGCACACAAGCAAACATACATATACCTTATTTTATTGTGCTTTCCTTTATTATGTGCTCCAGATACTGCCAGTCTTTTTTTTTTTTTTTTTTAACAAATTGAAGGTTTGTGGCCACCCTGCTGTAAGTAAGTTTGTTGGTGCCATTTTTCCAACAGCATGTACTCACTTTTTGTCTCTGTGTCAGCATTTTTTAGAAATGAAGTATTTTTAAATTAAGATATGCACATTGTTTTTGTAGTGATAATGCTATTATTGCACATGTAATCATTCCAGCACAGAAGGACACTTAAAAGGTTCACAGATAGATTGCAGTGAGAAGTGGTTTTGAAATTTGTTGCACATTGTAATCACCTAGGGAATCTTACAACTCCCAGTTCCTAGTCTTTTGTATACCTGCAGTCCCCAATCCCCAAGCCATGGACCAGTAGTGGTCTGTGCCTTGTTAGGAACCAGGCCACGCAGCAGGGGTCACCGCAGTGACCGAGTGAAGCTTCATCTGTATTTATAGCCACTCCCCATTACTTACATCACCACATAAGCTCCACCTTCTGTCAGATCAGCAGGGGTATTAGATTCTCATAGGAGTGTGAACTCTACTGTAAACTCTGTGTGGGAGGGAATCTAGGTTGCATGCTCCTTATGAGAATCTAAAGCCTGATGATCTGAGGTGGAGCTGAGGCAGTGATGCTAGCTCTGGGGAGCGGCTGCAAATACAGATTATCATTAGTAGAGAGGTTTGACTGCACAATAAATATAATGTGCTTGAATCATCCTGAAACCATCCTCTCCCCCATCAGTGGAAAATTTGTCTTCTTTGAAACAGGTCCCTGGTGCCAAAAAGGTTGGGGACTGCTGTCTTATACTACATACCACTCATCATCTCTTAGAATGGGTCCCTAGCAGCCACAAGTGGTTCAAGTGTATAGCTAAGCTTGAGAGCAGGTGACACACAAGTGGTGTACTTGGCAGAGATGTGAGTGAATATCTAAGAGTTTGGTTGATTTTAAACATAACAGATACAAGTGCTCATTAACAAGTACTTGTAATATACTGTCTTAAATTTAATCTATTGGTAGTATTGCTTTTTCTTTAGCTGTTTTTGAAAGAAATAACTGTGTATATGTGATTTAGGTCATTTGTCTCTTATGTCTTGGCAGTATGTAGTACTACTCTCTGGGTTGGTCAGGTGGACAAGAAGGCAACACAGCAAGATTTAACCAATCTATTTGAAGAGTTTGGGCAAATTGAATCCATCAATGTAAGTACCTATTCTTAAACAATAATTTAAGGTTAATAAAAAGAGAGGGAATTTTCACTCATACAAAGAATCATTTCTGTTGCTAATTAGCTCAGTAGTATCTGCCTTTAATAATGCATATCTATACAAGGATTGTTATACTTTGGTCATTTATATATTCGTTTTGGTGCTGTTTCCATTCTTAATTAAATTTCTTTTTAAGTGGAATTGTAACAGAATATTCTTGGAGGTTTTACAGCAGTGTAGTACTTGATTCCTAAAAACATCAAATGTCTGAGTTAGCAGAAACCCTATATGTGATCTAGTTTAATTCCTTTTTTAAAAAATGTATATAAGGAAACGGAGTCCTAAAGACTTGTAATCACCTACACAATGAGCACTGTACATTGTGGTGGAGATACAACTGGACTTTGGATTCTAGGTTTTTTTGCCTGTTTTTTCTTTTCTCACTCTTACCCTCTCATTCTTATAAAACAAAGGAAATGCTAGGCAAGAAAAAACGGGATAGCCAGGGAATTGGTGGTAGTTTGAACATAATCCCACTCTTTAACTTGATTCTTTCACTGATTTTGCACCACCCAATCTCTTTCTTTGAATATGCATTTCATTCTTTCTGAGGCCTGTTGCTTTTCCCTGAGGGGCAGACAGCCTTAGACTGTTTTTATATTTACAAATCATTTGCTTTCTGTCTCCTCCCATTATGTAAATTGCAGGTAGTGAAATAAAATTAACTAATGAAATGTATTGTAGTCATTCATTTGAGAACTGGATTTCATTAGGCTTCTGATTTCATTTGCTGTTTTGTTATACTTTGATGTCTATTGGACCTTTTACCAGAAAATTGCCCAGTTTTTCTTCCTAGTCTTAATTCCCAATATTCCTTAAAAGGCCAAACTTGACTTTTCTGTATTAATAACAGCATTCTTCATTTGAATTGAGTTTAACCATTTGTATTTTACTTTCAAGTATGTATGATCTTGTTGGAGCCTCATAAGAAGTTGGTTGATTTAATTAAGATACTATTATTTTCCAATAAAGAAACTAAGTGATTTGTTTGAGCTACACAGATAATAGGCGATTGGTTGAATATTTAAAGTTAGGTATTTCAGATTTTTCTTTCCACACAAGAGTGTTATACACTTCTTGCTTTTTTTCATTTTAAATTTGACCTGTCAGAATATAGCAATCTTTCAGAGTCTATCATCATATAACTTCTCTGAGATTTTTTTCTGATTTTCCCCTACCCTTAAACTACTGGTTCTTGGCCCTAGCTAGCTGCATATCAGAAATAAATGTTGACATTTGAAAAATTAGGAATGTCCATGCTCAGTATCTTTAAACTCTTAGCAGAGTGCCTTAGTTACACAGGTGATTCTGATGCACAGCCAGGAATCATTGTTCTGAAACCACCCTGTATCCCAGTAACATTTTGGATTTTCTTGTTTATAGTATTTGTAGTATTTCTTGTTTCATAGTCCCTTGAACATCTGTTTGCCTTACCCCCTCTCATATTGCATATTTTTGAGAGCATATTATTATTTACAAATAATAAACACGAAGTTATTTTGTGAACTGAACAGAATGGTTACTGGTAAAATTTAGGATGTGAAAAGTTGTTGGAAGATTTATAAACCCATTCACTTATTTGTGGGGAGTTTGAAGACAGAAAAGTCCCTTAAATATGGCATTTAGTAGGTTATTGGTGAGTTTGAAGAGGATATTTTCAGTGAGTTGGTGAGGGGTTGGAGCTATTATATTGCAAGAAATAAAAGAAGAATGTTAGGGTTTAGATAAGTGTCCCTTTTAAGAGATCTGGTTTAAAAAGACAGTAGCTTGAGTGTTATCAAGGCTGAGGAGAAGTTTTTATTTTGACAAATAAAACTTATTAGGTGTTAAGTAATAATAAAGTGATAGAACACCTTTTGAGTTTCTCAAAAAGAAACTGAAATGCTGTGCATAGTTTTCTGAATTCATACATTAAGGATAATTTTATGATCTGGTAGTTTATGGGGTAGTTAAATGCTTTGTAAGTCAGTCTCATATCTTTATACCGAGGTTATTTTCCTATTCATGTTAAAACTTTTGTTCAAATAACTTGAACAAAATAAAGTTTTATAAAAAACTAAAAAGTTTTAGTTTTATCATCAGTTACAAATTATAGATTTTATATTTAGGATAAGATACTTCCCCAAAACAAAAAGCTTCCTCACATTACTCAATGCAATATTTGGAAAAATTGAAATAATACTAGGAATACATTATTTGTCCTCAAATATTTTGGTCATATTGTTTTCCTTTAATCTGGTGGCATTCATTGTATATATGTAGTTACACATTTTTGTTCTTAATAGTCTTTATTTTGTGTTCAAAAAACTGACATGTGATATTTAAGATTTCACATATATTGTGTCTTAGAATGAGACTTAATTAGGTTTTAATTTGGGTTTTTTTTAAAAACAATTAATTGTACATTAGTTGCACCAATAAACAGCTGAAGGAAGAAAGGGGAAAACAATTCAGTAACCTATCAAAATTGAATTTGAGCTTTAGTCAATGTTCTATTTCATTAAAACTATAAAATGTCCGAATGAATTTCCATTCTTTTATACTCTTTTCAAAAAAAATTTTTTTCTTTTTTTAAATAGATGATTCCGCCCAGGGGCTGTGCTTATGTTTGTATGGTTCATCGACAAGATGCATTTCGAGCTCTTCAGAAACTTAGTTCTGGATCATATAAAATTGGGTCCAAGGTCATTAAGGTGAGATTTTGTGGAGGGGGAATGCATATCTTAATTTTAATGTCTTTTTTGTTAAAGTGTAAGATTTTTGTGGGAAGGGTTCACATGCTCTTGTTTTATTGGATTATTAGAATGTCCCTATATTATATTCATCTTTTTTAATGTTATGGACAAATCTCATCAGAAACTTACTATTTCAGTATTGTTGAGTTACAGAATTAGATACAGGTAAAATAAGTCCAATAACCAAAACTTGAGTCACACAGTTCCTTGAATCACCCTTGCCATAGCTCTCTGAGTCGACCAGGGCACCATTTTATGAGCAGAACTTTTTCATTTTTACATGTTTGTTTTTCATTCACTTTTCTTCCCAGCACTTCTTAATTATACCCCCTAATTATATTATTAAGTTTTCTTTTTTTTTTTTAAATCCTTTTTTATTTATACCAGGGATTAGTATATCAAGGGATTATTTGTAAGTATGTTTTTATTTTCCTCCTAGTCTTTACACTTAGAATTTAGTGAGTATTTTTCCATTATTTCTGGTGATTAATTCACAATTTCATTCCTGCTATTCTGAGATAATTTATTCCATCAAATTCTGCGACTGGATTAAAAACTGTAACTGCTTTCAAGATAGTTAATGTATGCTTATCTTTTCTCATTTCATGGCAGATATATTCTCTTTATAAACTAAAATATCACCAGTCTCCTTCCTGAAATAAAAGGTTTTGCTTGAATTATTATTACTTTCCTAATTATCACTAATGTAGATTGATTTTTTTTTAATGATGAAAAGTAGATTTGGATTGTTTCTAGAAATGTGTGTCATTTTAGAGTTGAAGTAAAAAGTGTAAATAAATCCCAGATTGTAAGCATTATCTCTAATGCAGGTTTAATTTTAAAAATGAGCAAAAACAGAAGATACATGGAAAACATTTTCTTCACTGCTATTAGTTTTTCAGCTTTGCCTATCCTACTGTTTTCTTTTTTTGTTTGTTTTCTTAGAGACAGGGTCTCTCTCTGTTGCCCATGTTGGAGTGCAGTGGTGCAACCACAGCTCACAGCAATCTCAGACTCCTGGGCTCAAGCGATCCTCCTGCCTCAGCCTCCCAAATAGCTGGAACTAAAGGCATGAGTGACCATGCCTGGCTATTTTATTTTTTTAGAGACAGGACCTTGCTATATGTTGCCCAGGCTGGTCTTAAACTCCTGGCATCAAGCAGTTCTCCCTCCTTACTCTCTCAAAGTGCTGGGATTACAGGCACAAGTGTTTTCTACAACTAATTTTATTTGTTAACTTTTTGTCTTGTTTTTACAGTATGTATATGAGTTTCCTTTTTTCCTCTTTCCCTTCACTATAGATTGCTTGGGCTTTAAACAAAGGTGTAAAAACAGAATACAAACAATTCTGGGACGTGGATCTTGGGGTTACATATATACCGTGGGAAAAAGTTAAAATGGATGACTTGGAAGGTTTTGCAGAAGGAGGCATGATTGATCAGGAGACTGTAAATACTGGTAAGAACCCTGAGGTCATTTTATTGTTAAAAAAGTATTCTTAGAAGTTGGTAATTGAAGTGAGTTTGGGTGGGAGGGTAAATTGTGTATATTTTATTTTCTGGATTTATCTCCCAAAAAAGAGAAAAGAAACATTACTGTGTCTAATATATATACTTAATGGATCTTATTTCATAGGGATCAAAGTATAGATTAGAAGTTTATAAATGTAGCATTTTCCATGTATGTCTTTTTAAAATTTTTGATATGTAAGGTACAGCTGTGTATATAAAGGCTTTTCAAAACTAAATATTTCTAATTGAATTTAAGTGGGAACTGAGAACTTGGGAAGCTTCTTTGAAAAACTCCACCTGTTATTTTGAACAGTATCCATATTGGCAATAACAGTAATAGAAGCTTAGTTTAGAGAGCTCTGGTTCAGGTTCATGCAGTGTTAGAATACCTTCTAGAATGTCTTCTAGAATACCAAATGATCATCTAGCCTTCTCTTTTAAAAAATTTGTCTCTTTATTTTGAAAGATTCAAGTTATAAATTTACAAAATGGTTAGCAGCTATTCCAGTTGGCCAGGTGGTTGACAAAAAAAAAACACAAAAAAATTAAAATGATTAGTAGTTATAACCAGTAAGAAATCTTAAAATTGACATGTGGAAAAGAACTAAAATATGATAGATATCTTATTTCTTCACATCGTAGCTCTGTTTAACAAAATTAGCTAATTTTCAGAATATTTTACTTCTCAGGCCAATGTTAAGCTTTTGAACATTTTTTTCAGTTGTTTTCTTCCTATCAGTCCCCCCCCCCCACACACACACACACAGCTTTTTCTCCAGGACATTCATTCATTCAATAGAAATTTTAGTTTTTACTGTGTGCGAGGCCTAATTTTAGGAACTGGAATTATAGCTGTGAAACAATTAGACAAAAATCCTCCTTCTCATGGAGTGTAGCACAGAGGTTGACAATCTACTGCCCATGGGCCAAATCCTGCTGGTAGCCTGTTCTGTAAATAAAGTTTTATTGAAATGCAGCCATTTCACTTATTATTTTATGTGACTTTTTTTCCAACATCAGTTGAATAGTGTCAACAGAGAACATATGGTCCATAAAACCTGAAATACTATATAGAAAGTTTGCCAGCCATGTTTTAGTGGGAAAAAATAGATAACACAAAATAGATAAACTCTATAGTACTTCAGTGTTAAGTTCTAAGAAGAAAAATCAGGGAAGGGAGATGGAACAGTGTGGCTGTGGAGGTATTATGTGGTTGTGGAAAGTCTAATGGAGAGAGTGATATATGAAGGGGTGAGACATGTAGCTATCTGGGGAAAGCATTCTATACAGAGGGAACAGCAAGTACAAAGGCTAAGTTCAAAAATGAGACCAGTATAGCTTAAGCAAAGTGAGTGCAGAGTGAGTAGTAGAAGATGAAGGCAGAGAGGTGTACAGAGAGGCAAAGTTATATAAATCGTAGTAGTTCTACTTGATCTTTACTTTGAATGAGATAGAGAAACCTTGGAGGAACCATGAGAGCTTGTTTGTTCTAATTCTGGGTAGCTGTATTTTCAGAAGGATTTTTCTGTATTGGGTTAATACTTTCCTAGTTGGTCTTTCTTTGTTGTACCTTGTGCTAAAAAAATTGAGTAAGGTTGGTTCCTCATGTATCAGATAGCCATTGAGATACACATCTATTATATCCCTTCTAAGTGTTTTCTTTAGATTAATATTTTAGTATCTTTTATTTATGTCTCACGTGTCATGTTCTTTTGGACCCTTGGTATCCTAATCAGATTTATCTGAGCAATAATCTAGGGTGGCACCGACAGTTGTGGATATATCTTAAAGAGGTGCCAAGGTAGATGAAAGACTTAGATGTGAAATGAATATATGTAGAAGAAAATAATGAAGTTGTACCAACCCAAAGGAAATCAATATCAAATATTTTGTTTAGAATGGGAAACTGTGAAAAGTTCAGAACCTGTTAAAGAGACGGTCCAGACAACTCAGAGTCCAACTCCAGTTGAAAAGGAGACAGTGGTCACAACCCAGGCAGAGGTTTTCCCTCCACCTGTTGCTATGTTGCAGGTTAGTGCTGGGTGGTTTGTTTCGTTTTGTAAAATGTGTTGTTTTACATTTCTGTTTTTACTCATGTATTTACTTTATAAAACTTAGAGGAAATTGTCCAAATTAGAATAAATATTTGTCAGTAGTTTTAGGCAAAAGAATTTTTTTTAATCTCTTTAAAAAATGTTGCGAATGCTCTGGTATCATTGTACTAAACACATTAAGTTTAAAATAAATGTAAATATGGAAGTATTACTTCTGAGAACTTGAATAATTTTTTTTGTTTAGATTCATAGTTTTCTGAGAAGTCAAACTGACAGGACAATAAGTTGTTTTAATGAGTTTAGTCAAACATTTTTTGAAAACAATATTTTTGAAATGATCTCATTCATATTTAAATGTTTGTTTATTGAACAAATATTTATTGAGTGCTGGGTCTGTGACACATCAGTGGGGGAAAACCCACAAATCCCAACCTTTTGAACTTTTCATTCTCAATAGAGGAGACAGAAAATGTAAAATAAATAAGACTATGAGAGTCTGTGGAAGGAAAAAGGGTAGTGTGAGGCTAATCATGAATGCCTGGGTATGTGCTTATAATTTTAAATAGAGTGGTAAGGTAGACCTAATTGAGAATGTGAAATTTGAGCAACGCCCTTGGGAATTAACCATGTGGATATCTGAGGAAGAGCATTCCAGGCATAGGTAACAACCTATGCTGGGAGCATGCTTGGTGTGTTCTGGGAACAGTAAGTAGGCTAGAGTAAAGCCAGCGAGAGGCAGATTAGTTGAAGATAAACCTCTGTGAGGACTTTGGTTTCCACTCTGAATGGAATGAGGAGCCAGAGGAGGATTTTGAGTTGGGGAGTGACTTGATCTGGCTTACAGTTTTAAATGATTGCACTGGCTACTATTTTGAGAATAGGCTGTAATGAGCTTTGATAAAAGGGAGACCAGGTAAAAGGCAATTGTATTAATAGCAATCCAGGTGAGAGGTGATGGTGGTTCAGAATAGACCGCTAGCAGTGGAGGTAATGAGAACTGGTCAGATATTAGGTTTATTTCTAAGGTATGACTGTAGGACTTCTGGCGTGATTGGATTTAAAGTTGTGCTCAAAAGCAGAGAGGCAAGAGTTTTGGTTTGATAAATGGAAAGATAAGAGTTACCATTGTCTGAGAATGGGAAAAACTGTGGGAAAGAGTTCTTTTGGGAAGGACAATTGGGAAATGGTGGAGTTCAGAAAAGAGGTAAAGCTATGGTATAGATAAATATTTGGGATTTTTTGTACCTACGGTGAGCAAAAGATACTTATGCTGGAATTAGAGATAAATTTATGAGATATTCTAAAGCTCTTATTGACATGCTTCCTAATGATAGTTAGGTTGCATAGCATAAGTAGGTATTATTAAGCTTAGTGGGAGATGGAAGTTTAAAATTGATCATGATATTCAGTATTCAACTAGGTGACCATTACTTTATATGTCTTAAATGTAAGGTAGATTTCACAATCTCTAAGTAAACTCTGTTGAATAATATTGCCTTGCTTTTACCCTAAGTAGCTTCACGCACAGGTTAGGGAAAAAAAAGGAAAGAAAGAAGAAAAAAAAAACTATAAAATGCCATTTGCTACCTTCCTAAAAAAGAAATAGAAATAATTTACCTTTAGTTGTTCCAGGATTTAATCACTGCAGGTGAATAAACTGATCAGTGGACTTTTTTTCTATCCACCAAAGATTCCAGTGGCTCCAGCTGTGCCTACAGTTAGTTTAGTCCCACCCGCATTTCCCGTGTCGATGCCGGTTCCTCCTCCTGGATTCAGTCCAATCCCTCCACCTCCTTTTCTACGAGCAAGTTTTAACCCTTCACAGCCACCACCTGGTAAGCAATTTTAGTCTTAATATTTGAACTCTGTTTAGAATATCATTAAAGTTCTTTTTTCCAGGTAAAACTGCTATAGAGCAGTGGTTCTCAGACCTTAAGCATACATCAAAAGCACTTGGAGAGCTGCTTAAAGCATAGGTTGCTGGGCCCAATCTCTGTTTCTGTTCCATTAGGTCTATGGTAGGACTGGAAGAGTTTTCATTTCTGATTTGTTCTGAGGATGAAGATTGCTGAGAAGCACTTACAGGGAAAAGAAATGAAATTCCTTTAAAATCATTGGAAATCATTACTCTTAAGATAATGTAAATTTTATTTTGAAGTTTTTATTTGAAAGTTACCCATAATTATCACCCTTTCATCAGAAAGTTTGCATTGAAATTTCTAGAATGTCCCTCCTAAAAATCATTAGGTTCCATTTTGACATTTGAAATTATATTTTAAAAGGCCAAGAGCATTTGGAATACTTTTTTGACCTAATAAAATACTGATAAACAAAAGTTCCCTGAATTAGTGTTTCTAGGTAAAAACTATAGATTATTTAAATACTTATCAACTAAATATCTTATCAACTAAATACATATAAATTATTTATATAGTTTGAGATAAGAGCTTTTAGTTTTAGATTATGAGAGGTTAGAAAAATGATGGAGAGATACAAGGGATCAGACAATATATATATTTTTAATTTTTTTTTCTTTGAACTCATGATTTGCCTATCATAAGAAAAGTTGTTCTTTGATTTCTGTAGTTTTTGTTCTTAGGCATTAGATAGAGTTCCTAAAAACTGTCAGCAAGACTAAAATAAATTTATCATCTGAGAATGGCTGTAATTTACTTGTCATATAATATAAAACTTTTAAATTGTGGTTTAATACATGATTGGAAGTTGATATAGATTTTAATAAGAATTTTATCTGTATATAAAGAGAGAGAGATAGACAGACAGACACAAGCTCTGACTATGTTGTACAGGCTGGTTTCAAGCTCCTGGCCTTAAGCAATCCTCCCGCCTCAGCCTCCCAAGTAGCTGGGATTACGGGCTTGAGCTACCATGCCCAACATCTTTTTTATATTTTAAATATTGAAAAATTACTTTCTATATCTGTGTGATTTGAAAATTAAAATTTATTTAGGAAGATATTTTAAATGATTATTTCATAAATCAAACCACATAGACTTTATAAAGTCAGTATTATTAATTTGTTGAAAAATCACATATTCCTTATTTTTAGTAACTGTTTTCTAATTAAATTTAATGGTGGCTTTATATTTAAAAAATGCAGAGGAGCAGATTTATAGTTAGATCATTTGATATTGAAAATCATTAAAAAGCCAATATCGAAGTTTTATTTCAATTCTTAAAACATAATATCTCATGCAAGGCTAATGAAGATATTTTGATCTAGTGGGTAAACAGCATATGTGTCAAAGAAATAAAATAGCATATTTGCCAGATGACATTATTACATATAAAGTAATCAACAGCTTGAAATATAATGTTTAACTTTCCCCATGCAGTCACTGTTCAGCCATATAAACAGGGTTACCTGGCTCCTGTTGATCTTTGATTTTATAACATTATAGAACATGCTACAGGACTTGAATGAGTAAATATTAATAAATAGGATGTGCCTATGATTAGGATCTCTCTGCTTTACCTGCCTTACTAAGGATCAGATAAAGTATCATATATAAAAGGCATTTTTAAAATGATGTATCCATAAGTACAAGATCATGGTAATAAAAGACCATTTTAAGAATGTGGAATTTCACTTGTAGCTATTGAGATCTTTGATTTAAAACAAGTAATTTTTCTTGTGCTCTTTTATGGGGGGGGCTTCTTTTTCCACATAGGTTTCATGCCACCTCCAGTTCCCCCACCTGTTGTACCACCCCCTGCGATTCCACCAGTAGTACCAACGTGTGAGTTTTCTACTTTTAGAATTTTCTTTATTCATGGTAGTGTTAGTGTGTTGGTTCTCATTCTGGTGAACTATTAATTTTTTTATTATGAAAGTTTTTAGACAAATGCATGTTAGATGATTTCTAAAAAACTAACAGTATCATGACATCCATATTTGCTTGATTGTCTCAAAATGTCCTTTTATGATTGCTTTATCAAAATTTAAAGAAGGTCCTCCCATCATATTTGTGTTGTATTTTGTTTATTAAATGTCATAATCTAGTGCAGTCCTGCCCAAAGCCCCCTTTTCTGAATCATACATGACTTGAAGAAACAGTTCAGTTCTGTATACAAGATCCCAAATAATGGATTGGGTTTTTTTCTTATTTGTGGTATCGAATTTGTTCCTCTCTTTGAATTTCATGTAAAATGGAAGTTAGCAAATGCTTGCTTACGTTTCAGTTCAACTTTTTTTGCAAGAATACCTTAAAAAGAAAGTCTAACTATAGGCTTGTTAATATCAGGAGATATGCATTGCCTTCTTGTCCCACTTTTTTTTTTTTTTTTAGTAGACTTTATTTTTTGAGAGTAGTTTTAGATTCACAGCAAAATTAAGCAGAAAATACAGAAAATCTCTATATACCCACTGCCCCCAGGCATTCACACAGCCTATCATTATCAATATCCCTTCCAGAGTGGTACCTACATTACAATTGATGAACCTACATTGACACATCATTATCACCCAAAATTCTTAGTTTACATTAAGGTTCACTCTAGGTGTCTCGTTCCATTTTTAATGATGTTATGATGAAGCAGAGCATTCAGGTAGTGGAACCTGGTCATTAAAAAAAATTCCTTTCAAGTTTCATATGATGGTTTCATCCATTGATCATTGTTGCTTGAATTTACTTTTCATTAGTTGTACATGGTGGTCTTTTAAAATCTGTAATTCTTTGCACATTTCTTACCTAGAATTTTTTTTTATCAAGAAGAACTTTCTCTTAACAATTAATAGTACTTAGTTACGCATGAAGTTTAGTTTATATGGGAAAACCAGAGTAGGTACTAAATCTTTCCCTTAATTGTCATTTTTCAGAGTAATGAGTTCTGTGGATATTTCCAGTGATAATCCAGTGACTGAAGAGGGGAGATGATTTCTCTTATTTCTTCTCTCTCTGCTCCCATGTTCCCGTCCTCTTCTTTTCTCCTTTAGTTTCTTTAGTGTTTATGGATCAATAGATTTTTGCTTCCAATCAGTTGGGTTCATTTTTCTTTTTGAAGTTCAAATTGTTTCATCTTTGGACAGTGGGAGACTTTTCATGTTGCTTTTCTATCATTTTGAGTTGACTACATTAGTTTCTGAGAGCTGCTTAGCTTTTTGGTCCAATATATTCCAGACTAATCTGTGTCTTCCTGCTCCAGTCTGAGAATCTGCCATTTTCACAAATGAAGTGTGTAGTATTTAGACACTACAATTTGGGTACTAGATTTTCATTTTTCTTGGGTTTTTAATGAGTATAGGAATTTTTAGTGGACAAAACTAGAAAATACATATTTTAAAAAGAAAATATGAATATACACTATTTATAAAAACAGTTAACATTACAGGACTTTTTAATTTAATACTTAGCTACTTTGATTTTTATACTTGCTCTTGTTCTCATATATTGAAAACAATTGTTTATATTTATTCTATAAAATAGACTTACATACATAAAATATTTAGAAAGTAGTAAGACCAATGTTACTGCCAATAACAAGACAACTGGATGAAACTAAGATTTCTTTGCTGTTTTCTTTGTCCTCAGAAAACACTAACATGATTGCTTATTTTGACTAACCTGCAATATAGACGTATACGCACACACAGTGGTTTAAAAGTAGTAAGACCAATGTTACTGCTAACAAGACTACTGGATGAGGCTAAGGTTTCTCTTGCTTTTTTTGTCCTAGGGATGTATAATCAAATTACTGTCATCAAGGTTACCTGAAGTAATAATTTCCTCTTCGTAGCTTCATATGTGACTTTTCATTTTGTTTATTTTTTGTGGAATGTGCACCCCAGCCTCTACCTCCTTTTGATATCTATATTTTCTTTATTAGAGTAGACATTTCAAAAGGAATGCAAATCAACTCAAAAGTTAATATATAGAGACATTTATTAGCTTACTCCAGGCATCCTCAAACTACAGCCCGTGGGCCACATGTTGCCCACCTAGGACATTTATCCTGCCAGCTGGGTGTTTTTGCCGCAGCTACCTGTCCTGCTTAGGAGCCGATTCGTCCCGGACCCATAGTGTGCACTCTCCAACGATCTGAGGGACAGTGAACTTGGCTCCCTGTTTTAAAAAGTTTGAGGACCTCTGGCTTACTCCATTCTATTTCCTTTTTCCTATTGTTGGGCATTTCAGAAGTGTTAAATACCCTGTTATTCATTTTCTCCTTCCAGTCTGCTGTTTATCTACAGTAATTCTCCAGGCTTCTAAACAAATCTTCAGTATTTTAAACAAGCCTACCTTGAAAATTAGAGCTGAAAAGGCCTTTGTTATAAAGAGTGTATATGATATAGAGACTTTAACTTTTGGTAATCTAATTCATTTTCCTTGAATTCTTAAGTTCTTTTCCCTTTCAATGTTTAGATATCATTAAGATTTTTCCTTTTTGGTATTGTTGGTTGATTAGAAAGAACTTTATTCTTTCAGAAAATTAGACAAAGTGTTCAGGAGTCATTTCTGAATTCACCATTCACAAAGACTTTTCCTAGAACCTACCTCTCAATTATTTCTTGCTAGTTTCTTAATTTAGGAAAATCCGAGACCAATTAATAAAGAGAAATACTGGTGTGCCAGATGCTCCCCAAATTGCTTTCACTGTCTCATTTAATTTTCATAATTCCCATACATCATCACAGCTCAGCTCTGTTATATGCTGACAGTTTGTCCAGGTAATCTAGTGTTAAATGTGAAGATAAAACATTTCCTAAAATCTCCAAGTATGATTTAATAGTATTCTCTGTGACATAAATTTGATTAAAAATTATAATTGTATAGCTATTTTATATTCCTCTAATTAAGTTTTTTAACATATAAATGACATATACATTTAGGGACTTTTCTACCCATTCTTTAAAACAGAATCTTTATAGCTTTATATTTATAGTGCACCTCGCATATTCTCATGTGATGAGTTTCTAACCTTGTTTGAACAAAAGGTAGTGGATGTAAGGATGTAACAATAATAGTACGTTGTTATTTCAAGGGGATTGGACAACTTTTTATTCTCATACATACGTACCAGTCTACACTACTTTTTTCTGTGTATTTAGATATTCACTTATCTGGTACCCTTGAAAAATTATTAGTACTATTGTTACTAGAATTTACTTTTTTTTTTTTTTTTTTATGGAATGTCTACTGATGTCATAGAATTTACTTTTTAAGTACTGGTCCTTACTAAACATTGTTGGTGAAAATATTTTTAAAAATTGTAGAGTTTCCCTCTTTTTAAAAAGTAAAGTTTTTTAAATATAATTTAGCCTTTTCATGATGACTTATTTATCATTTTGAGCAATAATAATTATATAAAGTGCTCAGTAATACAGATGCGTTAAACACTCAAGCTGCCAGAAAACTTAGCAGATGAATTGAGTAACTAGTTAAATCTGAAATATATTTTTCTCATCTTTAAACAGCTTTAGTGCAGCCGCCATTATCCATGACCCCAGAAACTGTGAAAGATGTTGGATTTGGTAGCATTGTTATACCAGGTGGTGCTGTTGCCAGCAGTCTTGCTACTTCCGCTCTGCCAGCTGGAAATGTTTTTAATCCTCCAACTAAACAAGCAGAGCCTGAAGAAAAAGTACCTCATCTTATAGACCACCAGATTTCTTCTGGTGAAAACACCAGATCAGGTAAAACAAATAACATAAACACAACCCTACAAATACAATTAAATCATAAGCATTACATCTCTGAATTGGTGTTTAATTTTGGGGTGACATGCATTTGTAACCAATTCAATACACAATGTTGAAATACTGTAATTTTTTGAAAGAGATCACTATGTCCCAAAATTTCTATTTAAAAATATGACATTCTGTTCAGGATAATACAGATACTTTCCATTAAGACTCCTACTACATTCTCATGTTTTGGGAATACTTCAGTGTGGTGTTGTCAAAATAAGATTGCATAAAATCTGTATACTTAAGGGAAAATAAAAACTAGCAAGTATTAGGTGTAACTAACTTCTACCAGGAACTTAATGTCTATCAGGTATTATCCAGCTAGATCTAGAAGATAAATATGGTGTTTGAAAACAAGTCCTTTTTTAATGGCTCCATTATTGGTATATTAAGAATCATGCTTTAGAAAGATTTTTGTTAAAGGTGGAGAATCAGTATAATACCTGACATTTTTGTTTAACTTAAAAGTTTTCATGTAAAGATTTTAGGTAATAGCCCCACTTAAATTTCAATATTTAAATTTCACTCTGTGTAGTATTAATAAGCTTCAATTTTTGTTTAATATCTAGTATACCTTGATTCTTAGGGGATACAAGTAGCTGATTTAACTCTAAGCTAATTAATGGAAATTTATAGCATTAATAATTATAAATATAGTTTCCTTTTCATACCACAATGACTGTTTTTTTGGGTTATTTCTCCTCTTTTCATTTTAGTGATTCCAAATGATATTCCAAGTAACGCTGCAATTTTAGGAGGCCAGCCACCAAATGTGACAAGCAATTCTGGAATTCTGGGAGTCCAAAGACCAAATGTATCGAGTAATTCTGAAATTCTTGGTGTCCGGCCATCTAATGTTTCCAGTGGTTCTGGGATTATGGGAGCCCACCCACCAAATATTCTGAATAACTCTGGAATTTTGGCAATACAGCCACCAAGTGTGTCGAGTAGTTCTGGACTTTTGGCAGTGCTACCCCCAAATATACCTAACAATTCTGGACTTATAGGAGTACAGCCACCAAATGTTCCAAATACTTCTGGACTTCTGGGAACACAGCCACCAGCTGGACATCAAAATTTACCCCCTTTAAATATCCCTAGTCAAAGGATGCCTGCAATACCAATGTTAGACATTCGTCCAGGACTAATACCACAGGCACCTGGACCAAGATTCCCTTTAATACAGCCTGGTATACCACCCCAACGCGGAATCCCTCCCCCATCAGTACTTGATGCAGCTCTTCATCCACCACCCCGTGGACCTTTTCCTCCAGGAGATATTTTTAGTCATCCTGAAAGACCTTTTCTAGCTCCTGGAAGACAAAGTATAGACAATGTTACTAACCCAGAAAAAAGGATACCACTTGGGAATGATAACATTCAACAGGAAGGAGATAGAGATTACCGTTTTCCTCCTATAGAAAGCAGAGAAAGCATTAGTAGACCTCCCCCTGTGGATGTTAGGGATATGGTTGGGCGTCCTGTTGATCCAAGAGAAGGTCCTGGAAGGCCTCCATTAGATGGTAGGGATCATTTTATAAGACCACCTGTAGATATAAGAGAGAATCTTGTGAGGCCGGGTATAGATCATCTTGGTCGAAGAGACCACTTTGGCTTTAATCCAGAGAAGCCCTGGGGGCATAGAGGAGATTTTGATGAAAGAGAGCATCGGGTTCTACCTGTCTATGGTGGTCCAAAAGGCTTACATGAAGAAAGAGGTAGATTTCGGTCTGGAAACTATCGTTTTGATCCTAGAAGTGGTCCTTGGAACAGAGGATTTGGACAAGAAGTTCACAGAGATTTTGATGACCGCAGAAGACCCTGGGAGAGGCAAAGGGATAGGGATGACAGAGATTTTGATTTCTGCAGAGAAGTGAATGGAAATCGTCTTGGACGAGATAGAATTCAAAACGCTTGGGTTCCCCCTCCTCATGTTCCTCGGGTTTTTGATTATTTCGAAGGGGCCACTTCTCAACGAAAAGGTGATAATGTGCCTCAGGTTAATGGTGAAAATACAGAGAGACATGCTCAGCCACCACCTTTACCAGTACAGAGTGATCCTGAACTTTTTGAAAAACTGACATCTTCAAGTGAGATAAACAAGGAGAAGAGTGACACAGTTGCTGATATAGAAAGTGAACCAGTGGTAGAAAGCACAGAAACTGAGGGGACATAATCATCACTCAGTAGGTAAAAGATACCTTTTGTAAAGTTGTCATCTCTCTGTAATAGATTAATGGCTGACTGGACCATAGTTGTTCACTTTTGTCTGCCAGAATTAAGTTAATCTGATGTTCATGTTCACCTTTCTCTTAAAATAATTGTACAACTGACTTGTATAGACATTGTTCTTAATATGAACATGGTAGGTAAACATTTTTTTTTAATTTTTCTGATAAAATATAAGTGTTGCCCCCAGATTCTTTTAACGTCAAAGAAATGAATAACAGCTTGTCAGAGACTTCCTATGGAAGAAAGAATTTTTTAGATACTATCATTAGGTTGGATATGGTAATAGATATATTTCAGAATAGCAAGTGGTGGTATATCTTATCCATATCTTTAGGCTGCTGCAGAATTTTAAGGTAATAGACAAAGCTGTGATATTTTATGCAAAGACTGGCTCTAGATATTTGAGGAGCACAATACAGAGATTTTTAAAAAGTGATTTTGTAAAATCTACACTATGGTCTCTGTTTCTCCAAAGTAAGTGTTTGTGATTTGTTCCTCATACTGCAGTGAGTAAAAAAGAAACAAGAAAACAACAATATAAATATTAAAGTACGTTTCAATGTTGGGTGAATTTTGTTTTTAGATGCCAATAAAACTTATTTGTTTGATAACAGTGTTCTAGGAATTGTATTTTTTTAACCTACAAATTCTTAAAACCCTTAATCATTATTAGCAGCATGTGCTCAATTTTTGCAAAAGTTTTTCTATATTACTCTTATAACAACAATGAAGAGGTGTGTGGTGGAAAAAGCATGTACTTTATAAAAATCATGCAGTCTCATTAGTGTGTATTGTCCATGTATATTTATTGTGTAAATCATACATAGTTTTTTTGTTGTTGTTATTTCTTTCTCTGTATGTCTACCTTCATGCACATACAGAGAAAAGAGAAAGTTGAAAAAGTTTAGGTAATAAAATATTCTTTAAAACCTGATAGAAAATTAGAGAAATTTGGCTAATTAACATTGCTCGTAGTTAAAGCTGTTAGTCTTGATGAAGGTAAAGTAAGAAATACTGTAAAGAAATACATTGGCAGTTTGGCAATTCTTTTTTAATATAGTTAAGCATGAAGCCAGATTTAGCATGGAGCCAAATTTCACCTAAATGCTTGCATTGCTTTGTTTCACACTATATTTTTGCTATTCTGCATAGCTAGTACTAGTACTAAAGTCCTTTGGTCACGTGCCTGAAGTGAATTTAATTGCTCAAAATGTATAGTGATGTTGGTGGACTTAAAGACATTAATTTGTATACCAGGTATAAAATATCCATCGTGTGCTTTGTAGGCTCTGTGTAATACTGCAACCTCCAAGGTAAACTGAGTAGGAGCAAAATTTGGGGTTGGTTTATTTGTTTTTCATTTTCATTTATTTCATTTATTTGCTGTTTGTTCCCCTTTGGGTTTTATATATATATACATACACAGACACACACACACACACACATATATATCTCCATTAGTGTTTTCTATTTTCTAATGGAAGGCTTTTATTTGATTCTATGAATATTGATTTTGTTTTCTATGCATTTCCAACAATTCATCATTTATTCTGTTTATCTAAAATTTCTGAACTACCTTTGTCAAGCCTCCAAAAACTGATAGAGCACACCAGCCATTTAAAATTTGCTTACCTCTGGTGATCTTGAGAGCTATAATAGCTTTGAGATGCCTGGCCAGAAATAAAAGACCTCTACTTACAAGTTCTGAACAGAAGTATGTTACTTACTTTGTTATTTGGAAAAGTAGGTGAGAGTAGAAATGGGTAGAGATATTTAGATGGTGTTTATTTCCAAGGTAATTCAGTTCAGTCAATAATTTGAGTTGGTTTCAGATCTTTTCCTTAGGTTAATTAGGCAAAACTGTGACATGGGTACAAAGTTTTAATGTTCAGGAAAAATTGGCCTTGTCCTTAAAAAAATTTTACCGGCTAAGATTTCTCTCAAACTACTTTATTTGCATTTACCATTATTAAAATTAAGTGACATTCACTTAGATTAAGTAATAGTAAAAAAATGGGAGACTTTCAGTGATTTTTGGTCCCAAGCTTTTTTATCACCATTGGTCCTGTGTGTGCTTGAAAACAAAATATGTACAAGAGTTGGCACTGGTTTGAAGACTCTAGTGGTGACAGTTACTTAATCAGTTTTCAGTACTATATCTAGAAACCCATCTTGGAAATGTGTGATGACACTTTTTTAAAATAGCTGAAAAGAAATTACTGTGTGCTTGTTCTTACTTCGTTTTGTCATATAGTATTTAAGTGAAAGGAGAGTGTTCATCTTCATTCTGAATTTCTAAAACTGATAATTGCATTTAACACTTTTTAAATGATAGAAAAGTTCATTGTCTTCCTTTGGTAAATTTGGCATGGGACCCACCTATCACATTTTTTATGCTTTTGTCACATTTCTGTCACTAGAACACTAGAATTCAAAATAAGAAATAACCTATTTTAATACAGTGGTTTGAAGTGCTGCAGGCAATAACTACTAGACAACAAATTACCTAGAGTTTTAATTTGTGACACGTTAGAATGATGTGACTTTCTGCAGTTTTAGTAAATGGGACCATTAATTTTTAAATGTTTTTTTTCTCTAAACATTTCCTTAAACGTTGGCTTCTGTTCTTAGCATAAGTGTATATACTGTACTTGATCATTTATTTTGTAGATAGAAACTTACTTTATAGTAAAGTAGCCTATCTGCATCATAGTATGGGTAGTAGAATGCTCCATTATTCTAATTTTATTTCAATATAGGGTGGACAAATACTTGGAAGGTATTGGCAGATGAAAATATTGGAAATGTGAAATTAATCTTAATCGTTTAAAACTCTGAAAGTAACTTCATATAGTATTTCATTGATAAAATCTATTCCTTATTTAAGCTATTACATCCTTAACAGAGCAGTTCCTTTTGTCCTGAGAATTTAGTTGCTTCATTACAGTTATTTGCTATTTTTCACTCATAAAAGATGATAGTTTACAGAACCACATATTTAGGGTTGTTCTGAGAAGAGAGTTTTGTTACACTTAAAAAGAAGTCACCTTTTTTAATTTGAAAAAGTACTTTTTAAATAAACACTATTTCATTGGATATAAGGTGCCATTGATTGTAAGAAGCACCATTCAGAAATAGAAAATGCTTGCAATATGACATGCCATTGATTGTAGCACATCCCTATTTCAGAGATGTCAAAATATAAAAAATACCTTAGAATCAAAGAAATGTGGTATTTATTGAGCTAGGCATTCAGTTTAATAGGAATGTGTGGATATTACTGTTTGAATAAATTTGAATAAATTTCCTACTAATATAAACTTTTGTATACACACACATCCTTAAGTGATTTAGAGAGTATTTTAATGTTTTTCTCAATTTATATATTTTAGATGGGCACAACCTTTAATGAACAAGAGCATTTTAATATTTGATTAAAAGTAATTTTGTTATACTTTATGTGCCTTCATCATTATTACTGGGTGCTATATTAATAAAGTGTTTTAATGGCTTTTAACTTTGAAAGAAAGAAAATATTAATTTTCTCAAAAATTTGTATTTTTCTTATATAGAAAGCGAGAGCAAGTATCTTTATATTCATTTTTAAGATAGGCAAAATAAAACTCCAAATTATTTTAAGTAATCATAAATACTACAGTGTGACAGAATTAAAAATATTTGTTCATGCTGTGGTTTTTTATTAAAATATCTTTTGAACTATAACTTAAATTATAAACACAAAAAATTTTATTTTTCACTTCTGAAGAAAAAAAAATGGTTATTATAATTTTTAATGAGGCTTAAAAACAAGATGCCTTGATCCAGCAAAACTTAACTAGAATTTAAAATTAGTGGGCACAAATTGTTTTGGTAGAGAGACATACCTTAAGTAGGGGTGCATATTTGAGACAATTTGAGGTGTAATCTCTCTGTGCTTCTAAGCCAGAAATGTATAACAGAATCACCTGTGCGACTCTTTGAAAATTTTTTTGGAGTGGTGTGGGAAGTGGTCACCATAGACTTACTAATACAGAATCTATATAATTCTGGGGTAATACATCTATATAAATTACATATATTTAATTTATGGGTGTGGATGTTTTATGAAATCCCCACATACCACCATTTTTGATATATTAAAATATGTAAATCTTTACCATATACTCGAGATTCTTAAAATTTTTTAAAATTAAAATATAAAATTACTTTTAATGTTTCAACAAAGCATACAGTTAATGTGGTCATTGGTGTTGGAGGATGGATCAAAAGTAGAGAAGTCAGTTTTCACAGGTGGTTTAAATTCAAACATTAATCTAAAAATTATTACAGCAAGAAAGGGATGGAAGGAAGCTTATGAGTTGGTTTTGTAGGAAGTATTTTTTTACTCAAGTGAAACTTTTTAATATGGTACCTCAAAGAAAAATTTACTGGACATCATGTTATTAAATGCATTAATTATAGAATAGCCTCTTTGAAACAAAATTGTAAGTGTTAAATTTATCAAAGTCTAGAAGTAGTAGTATTAGTAGGACTGTGTAGATGTGAATTTCACATCAAAAACTAGTACAGATTTGTGGCTTATTTGTGCATGAGCTTTGCTCAGACATTGTTCTTCCTTCCACTTAATTCCCTTCTTTTCAGCAGGCTCTTTTTATCCCATATGTACACTTAGAATTACTCTGCCTTGTTCTAAAGTTTAGAGGAGAGATAGAAGATATAGTCTAAGTAATTTGTAAAAAATATATAGTATATCTGGAGATAGAATTGTGTTAATGGGATAACTTTATTTTGTGTGAGAGATGTTAGATGCTTCAGGTAGTAAACTGAGTGCTTTTGCATGGAGCTCAAGAGGTGGTTTAGTGAGTATGTAACATTTAAATAGCAGTGGCAGATATATAGCACCTGGTTGTCCTGTACTCTTTGTCTCCTGTCCTCCTAACCCCCTTACAAGCAGCTAT